GCCCCCAGGCACCGCGTCGGCCGGAGGCCCGGCCCGGCGGCTCCGGGGCCCGCCGCTAGGGAGCCCTCTCCTGCCCTCATATCCGCATTCTTCCCCCGGCCGGACGCCGGCACCGGTGCCGAAGCTCCTATTCTTTTTTCCGGACTTTCTCATTTTCTGCCGTGAATATCCCTTTTGCGTGCTGTGATCACCGTATCTCCTGATACGAGTCTGAATCTCTTGTGGGCTACCTAGATCCCCGTATTTTCTCCACATTGCCCCGCTGCAGCCCCTCCTCACCATCCCCATCCCACCATCTCCAGCGGACCCCAGCCAGGGCTGGTGACAGATGCACCGCCCCCTCTCTCTTAAGTCCCCTGGGCTCTCCTCTTCACCCAGAGCTTCTCTGTTCTTTTGGCAGCCACACCCCCAAGCCTATCTCTACCCCTCCTGTCCCCCTTTCCTCTGCACTCAGTTCTCTGTCTCCTGATGGAAGGCTACTGGTGGTCTTGGCCATTTCTTTATCAGAGAACATTTGAGAAGAGAGAGGACTGTTTCTTTTCCTTCCCCTGGCCATTTCCCTCACCTTGGACTGGATGAGCCATCACCATCAAGCCCCACAGTCTGGGGCACCTTTTCCAGCCACCTCCTCCGTGTCTCCTGGACCTGCTATGCCCGGTGCTGGGCTCCCCCACCCCTCCCACCTCACCCCTCCCAGCTGCTTCTTCCCCAGCCCACATAGTCAGAGGGGACTGGCCTAGGTGGGTCTTACGCAGGTGTCATACAGATGCCCCTCCAGGGAAGCAGCATAGCAGAGCTTCGACTGAGCTGATACCTGATGTGGCCCTCTCTCTTGTCTCTACCTGTGACCCTCTCCCCAGAGCCCCACTGAGGAATAAGGAGTGAGCTGGTTTTCTGGTGGCTTTCTTTGCGCTTACGGGAGCTGGGGGTGGCTGGTGGGGTTTGTCCGCTGCTTGTCTTCAAGCTGGGAGCCTGACCCACAGGCCACTTTTGTAGCTGGCGCCTTTCATAGGAGCTGGTCTGGGCTGCCACTTCGCCTACTTCTGGAGCTCCAAGTCTTTCAATTCCCTGTTGTAAGGTAGCTTGGGAGGACCCCAGTGTGCCTGGACAATGGGGAGAGGAAAGGGGTTGGAGGGAAAGTAGGTTGAGCTGTCTGGGGAGGGGGCACTGGCTCTCAACCCACCCTTCTGGGCCTCGGAAAGCTCCTGGCCAGAGGCCCTAGCTTGGGAATCCTGTGGCCTCCTGGCCCAGGGCCAGCCAGGGGAGCGTTTCTAACAGCTGCTGGCTCCCAGAGCGGCAGTCACCACCCAGCCTCAGGTTCCCTCAGGACCTGCCCACTCTCCAGCCCTTTTCCAGGAGCTTGTAATTCTCCCAGGTGGGAGAGCTCCTTGCTTGGGCCTTGAGTGAGAGCCCAGGGAGCCAAGACCATGGTGGGGGTCTCCTTGTCTCCGCTTCCCATGGGTGGGCTGGAACTGGAGCCTCACAGGAGAGAATGGGCTACACGGTGCTGGCTCTTGGTTCACTGTCTCCTGACTGTGGCTGGTCCAGCACCGCCTGTCTCTGAGCTGGCTGGTTCAAACCGGCCAGGCCTGCACTGTGCTTGGAGCTGAGCTTCTTCCTGGGCAGGCTCTGATGGGGAGTGAGGCACTGGGGCTGCCCTGACCCATGGCCTCGAGGGCTCTGCTCTGTTCCTTGGGAGCCAGCCGGGGTGAGGGACACAGGCACCGTTGCCCGGCTGTGGGCTTGGCCCCCGCCTGCCCACCCCACCACCCCACTCTCCACGTGACACCTGGGTCCCGCTTGCAGGGATGTTTCACTTCTGTCTCTAGACGCCTGGAGAAGCTCTAGGATGTGCTGTCGGTGGGACAGCCTCGCTTTTCAAAGGTTGATTGGAGCCCTGCCCCAGGCCTCATTGGCTGCACACAAACGTGACATGTTACATGGGTGGGGTGTGGGGTGAGGATGCACGGTGGAGCTGTGCTGGAAGGAGGGGCAGCTCGAAGTGACCCTCAGGTCCCAGCTCTGCTGCAGCCGGGGCCTCACTTGATCCTCACAGCGGCCCTGTAGCCAGTCACTTTTGCTGTCCCCGTTTTACTGATGGGGGCATCGAGGGGCAGGTCAGGATGGGCCTGGAGGCCCTGGGCTGTCTTGCCTGGTCGGCATCAGAGCTGGGTTTGCTCCCTCCCTGGGGGTCTGGTCTCGGATGATGTGGGCCACGCAAGCTGTCTGGGAACGTGTTGGGTCCCCCCTGCTGGCTCGGCCCCTCGTCTTAGGCTGGGTCTCTGGCTGAGTCCTGTTGATGGGCGGCCGTCTAGTGAACAGGTCTCAGGCAGGCAGTGTGTTCTGCCCCCCACTCCTGCTGGCAGTGTCCTGCCTGAACCCAGCAGAATGCAACTCGGGGGAGCACACCAGCCCCACTGTGTGCTGTGGGGGCTGGCTTATGACCAGGGGTGGGGCTGGGTGGCGCGCCCAGCTCTGGGGTGAGGAGAGGAGCGAGCGGCCGTGCCGAGCTGGTGTGCTGAGCTGGATGTGGTAACCCGGGACGTGCCCTCCAGCTCTCCCTCCATGCTGCCAGAGCTGCACAGTGTAGCACAAGCTCCTTGCTACGTGGGTGGGCAGGTTGGGGACTTCCGTCAGGTGTCACATCAAGGGCGGCATGGGCAACTGTCTCCCTGCTGTGGCCAGCACCACGCCAGGGCCACCGCAGGTACAGCAGGAGTGTCAGCTTTGATGTCCTCACGTGGCTGATGGGTGTGCCCGCTGTGACTGGCCTGACGAGGTACATGGCCACCCCCTGGAGTCCTGGGCAGGCATCAGGGCTGGCATGCAGATGGGCTGCAGGCAGGCTAGAGGCACAGCAGGGACGTCACCAGGGGCCCCCAGCCACCCAGGCTGCCAGGCAGGTGGTCAGCGCTGCACCACTGGCTCTGGGTGCAACCTGGGCTGAGTGACCCACCTCTGCTGTGGATGGTTCCTGGCGCCTGATCCTTGACTCCTCCCTGGTCTCCCCCTGCTAGCCTCATCCTCGGCACAGAGCTGGCCCTGACCCTTCCTGCTCCGTCTGAGCCCTGAGCCCTGGCACCTATGTGGAGGAAGGGACTGCACGCCTCCCACCCCACAGGATTGCTCCCTGCCCCCTATGTACCCCCTTTGCCTGGAGAGCTCTCCCATCTGTTTGCCCACCTCTGCTCTCCTTTTAGGCCTGACCGAGGCAGCCCCCACTCTGAAGCCCCCGCTCACTGCTGGGAGGATGCCCTTTCTTCCCTGGAGTGCCTCCCTCCTCCTGAACAGCGCCACTCCCACTGTCTGCCTCTTGGGGCCAGTCATGTCGTGCTCTGCCCCTTACCAGAGCTCAGTGCAGTACCTGGCCCAGGGGGGTTACCTATAGGACAGTCATGCTGTGAAGAGGGGCTGGGCAGCAGACCAGGCTGCTCTCAGGCAGGGTGGGGGCACTCAGGCTGCCAGGTCCACCAGGAATGGAGGCTGCAATGACAGCGGGCAGAGAACGCCCTGGCAGGGCCGCCCAGTCCTCTCATGGAGTGCCCTGCAGTGAGGGAGGATGGGCCCGGGGACTCAGCAGTGTCTCTGCCCAGGCCAGCTGTCCGTGTTCCTATAGTGTCTGCTCTTCTGAGTGTTGCTTAAGGAACCCCCTGTGAGGCCTCCCTGGGCCCTCGGAGGCCTCTTCTCAAGCTGCTGGGGGGTGGAGGCGGCAGCACAGAGCTACAACAGGTGTGTTCTCGGAGGTGAGGCAGGCAGTGGGAAAGAGCTAGAGTGTCCGCTTAGGTACCCAGTAACTACCCGGGCAGAGGGGAGGAGGGAGTTCTGAAGACCCTGGCCAGGTGCAGGTGGTGTTTGTGGGGGCAGGGAGGGCTGTGTCCCTGGTCCTGCTCTAGAGTGGTACTACAGCAGAAGACGAGGAAGCTGCAGGGTCCCGGGGACAGTGGGACAGTGTTTCTGATCGAAGAGGCCGAGGAGGAGAGGTTCTCCTGAGGTGAGGCTGGGGGGGCAGGAGGAAGGACAGGTGTTTTGGGGTTTGTGTTACAGGGAATCCCCCAGCTATGCTTTGGGAACACGGCCGCCGCTGAGGCCTGTGGGTTCCTGAACCCCTGGTGGGTGCCGTAGACTGCCCAGATGGGCCTGGGCATCTGTGCCCCAGGCCATTCTGGGGGCCACACCTTCCTTTAGTGGAAAAGAGTGGAGTAGGGGGTTGCCAAGCATTTGTGGGGACCTTGTACCCCTAGACGTGAAGTTGTCTTGCGCCTGCTGACCTGACCACAGGGCCACGTTGTCCCTGGGAGCAGGGGGAGGCGTTCTCCAAGGCCTGCTTACAGCCCAAGGCCTGGGGGTCAGGGCTGCTCCCCTTGGTCCCGATGGAGCATCCAGTACCCCCTTATCCTGAGAGAAGCTGGCAGAGAGGCCCCTGGCACAGGGAGGGTGGGCTGGTGTTGTCCCAGGGTGCAGGGGTGCCTCCACTGGCCTCTGGTCACTGCCCCCACTTTGCTCAGTGGGGTTGGTGCCCCCCAGGTTGGTGCCGAGGGGTTAGGGGTGGGCTTCTGCTGAAATGACAGCTCTGTGCCTGGAGTCCCTTCCAAGGTGGGAGGAGGGGCTGCGGGACAGTGGCGGTAGTGACCTCTGTTCCACGCCTGCAGCTTGCCTGGTGACATGCGCTATCCCATATCACCTCACCAGTATGCTGGGAGGCCAGCCCATCGTCGCTGCCTACAGATGAGTATGCTGAGGCCCGGGGGGAGGCAACTAGCCCACAGGCATGCTGCTGGTAAGCTGGGCTGGGTGGCCAGCAGGGCCTGCTCACAGGGCTGGCCCTTCTTCCCAGGTCTTTTGGCCTGTGTGGGGGTCCCTGCAGGGCTGCGTGGTGGGAGGTGCCAGCCCGGCCCAGCATGTGGCATGCGTGGACTCTTAGTAGCGCTACGAGCTGTGCAGTCCTGGTGCGGTAGCTCCGGGCTCAGCCTCTAGTTAGGCGGTGGCCAACAAATGGGCGGCTAGCCCCACCCTGCCCTCAGACGGCAGCCAAGGCAGTGGCCACCCTGTGGCTGGGCTGCACACACAGTCCCTGTTTTGCTCAGGAGGCCAAGGGGCCCAATGGTAGGTGGGAGGCTTTGGGGCATGGTGACCACCTTCCATGGACAGAGTTGCTGGGCTGAATGTCAGCTGGGCAGGCCCAGCCTAGCGTCCACCAGCCTGGCATTCTCAGGGTGGTTCATCCCTTGGCTGAGCCAGAGGCACCCCTGAATGTCATGCCAGCTAACGGTGTTCTAACACAGCCGAGCTGTCAGGGTTGCCGGGGTGGTGAACCCATCCCTCTCAGAGCTCACGGATTCCCTCTGGAAGCCCAGTGGGGCACAGAGGAGGGCAGGGCCAAGCCACTCAGAAGCAGCATCCCACCCACCCATGCTTCGGCCGGCCCAGAGGGCAGCCCTGTGGCCGGCGCAGGCCAGCAGCCAAATGAACTGAGCTCGTGTTGGAATCCGGAGGCTCCTGGAGGAGAGGGGCACTGTGGTGGGTGTGCCTGGGGTGAGGGGGGTCCTGGCTGGGAGCTGAGTCCCAGGGCTGGGCCTGGGAGCTCGGGGCCTGTGGCCAGCCAGGTCTGCCCTCTCCCGCTGCTGTGGGCCCTGGGACGTCCTTAGTCACTCTCAGTTCTCAGCAGCTATGCACGCCTGGGTGCAGGGGGCACAGGTACCCCAGCCCTGCTTGGGGAACTTGGGCTGAGCAGAGAGCCCTGGAGCAGCTGTGTGGCCCCTCGTCCAGGAGACATCTGCGGAGCCCCAGGCCCTGGGAGGGCGCGGGCTCTCGGTGGTGGTGACGCGGTGGCTGTCAGGAGCCTCACCGAGCACAGGGCTGTGTGTTTCAGCCTTGCTCCAAGGGCAGGCAGGCATCTGAAGTTTCTCTCTCCCCCTGCCCGGCCGCCCAGCCCTCCACTGCTTAGCTCCCGCCTTTGGAGAACAGTGACAGGCCTCGGCCTGGGCCTTGGCGCTGAGCAGTGCAGCCCTGCCTCCTTCCTGCCAGCCCACTGGGGTCCAGGACAGCCACAAAGGCCAAGGCTAGCGTGGGGCTCCGCACTGTGGGGGTAGCCCCAGGCACACAGGCCTCTCAAGCAAATGGAGGTTCGATGTCCACTCTCGGGGGAGCAGGGCCATGGCCACCAGAGGTCCTTTACCAAACAGAGCAGGTGCAAGCCCTTGGCCCCGCTCTGGCGCCTGCCTGGGCCCAATTGCCTGCCTGGGCAGTGCTGCGGTGGGGCCCTGAGCAGGGTGGTCTGGGCTCTGGTCTGTCTACTCCAGGTGGCAACAGACAGCTCTTGTGCTGACCCCGGAATGGACAGGCCAGCCAGCTGACCCTCCCTGCTCTTCCTCTGGCTCAGCCCTCACTTCCCACCGCCCAGCCAGCCTGGATTCTCCCACCGGCTGCCACAGGGCCTGTTCCTTGGGCTAAGCTGGACCTGCTTCCTTCCTCACTGGGCGCATCTTAGTTTTTGGCCTAATTCATAACTTGAGGTTTGAATGTGATGAAGTCCATGGAGTTGGTGTGACTGAGTTCTGCGAGGGAGGCCTTGGCCCCAGCTGCTTGGTGCGTAGGACACGGGGCTGCGCTCAGCCTCCACTGTGTTCTCAGGACCCTCGGCCCTGAAACACAGTAGAAGGGCAGTGAGCACTGAAGGGGCCTCGGCACACATAGGCACACACACACCCGCCCCCTGCGGTGCTGCATCCTGCTCTCCAAGCACCTGGGCCCCAAGGGACCCCTGGCCTGGTGGCTTTCTGGAGGTTCGCCCTGGCTGGTGAGGCCCAGGCCCCAGCCCAGCCCCTAGACTCCATTCTGCCCTGCCCTGGTCCCTGCACCTGCCACGGGCCAGGCTTGAGTGGGGAGCTGTCTGCTCCATAGGACACCTTGGTTCCCATGTGGGACCCTATCAAGGCCAGGGCCACAACCCCTGTGTGTCCGCTTGACAGGCACCAAGTGGGTACTTCTGGGGTGCTGAGTGAGAAAGAGCCCCGGGATAGCAGCTGCCTGCCATCCACATGCACAGGGTCCCAGAAATGGGTCCTGCCTTAGGCCCCAAAGGGGACTGGCTCCCACTACCCAATTTCACCTCACCCACGCCAGCCCAGCAGCACCAGACCTGCAGTCTCTGCTCCTGCCCCCAAAGACACCCCCTGGCCCCTGCACTTGCCCTGGCAGACCTGGCCTCCCGCCAGCCCTACAGGTGGCTGGCCTCACTGGGCAGGTGATGGAGCCAGGGACCAGGATTGGGACCCATCTGAGCGGGTGCCTACCCCTAGTGCAGATGGCCTTTCTGAAGGCTGAGAAGTGGACGTGCTTGCCCGGGCACGGGGTGGGCAGTGTCCGCCCCTCCACTTGACGGTGGCATACCATGTGCACCTCTGCGTGCTACCAGCTGGGCACTCCTGTAGTCCTGGAGTCGAGGGCTTGCCAGGCTCCAAGCCCCAGTGTGGGCAAATTGACCACCTCCTGTGGGGCCTGCCTTAGTGAAGAGTCCCGACCTCAGTCAGTGATGGAGGCCGCATCCTTGAGACGCCACATCTCCAGGGGAACTGAGTCGGCTGTCCTTGGAGGGGCCCCAGGAAGGGAGCCACGTGCACCTCTGCCACCAGCCGAGCCGTCTGCCTGGAGTCCCCAGAGGATGGTGGTCTGGCTGGAGCCGCAGCGGCGGGCACGTGCCTGGTCCTGCCAGGTCTGTGAGCGTCATGTCCCTTTCCTTTTTCGCAGTGTACTAACGGTCACTTGATGTGCGCTGGCTGTTTTATCCACCTACTAGCAGATGCCCGGCTGAAGGAGGAGCAGGCCACATGCCCCAACTGCCGCTGTGAGATCAGTAAGAGCCTCTGCTGCCGGAACCTGGCAGTGGAGAAGGCCGTGAGTGAGCTGCCCTCTGAGTGTGGCTTCTGCCTGCGCCAGTTTCCCCGCTCACTGCTGGAGAGGCACCAGAAGGAGGAGTGCCAGGACAGGTACCGCTGGCGCCACGGGCCTGCCAGTCCTCGCTGCCCCAGCCTTGGGCCACGGGCCAGAGAAGGTCCCGTCGCGGGTCCTTGGGCCTCCCCGGCCGCCACCAGGGCTCTGCGTGAGGGCAGGGTTGGGGCTGGGTCTGCACATCAGCGTGGCCGAGGTCCTGTAGCTGCAGGGTAGGCTGGGAGGGCACTCGGGCACTCACCCCGGGACACGGCTCTGAGGGGCTGCTGGAAGGCCCCAGCTGGCCCCAAGCCCCCTGCTGGGGGGGAAGCCATCTCGGTCCTGTGGCCACCAGCCCAGCCTCGGCTGGGCACTCAGTTACGCTGCTGCTGGGAAATGAGCCTGGGGGTGCAGCCATCAGGGTCACCGGCAGCACTGCCTACTGCCAAGCGGGGGGCCATCCTGCAGCTGGGGCCCCAATGGCACACTCCGTGTGTCTCCCGCCCGCCTCCGTCCCCGCCTCTGTCTCCGCCTCTGTCCCCGCCTCTGTGTCACACGGTGAGCGTGTGCTTAGGGGGTGGTGTGTGTGAGCAGGTGGGGCCCATACCCGTGGGGGTGCAGGCCCTGACCCTGCCATGCCGCTTTCCCCAGGGTCACCCAGTGCAAGTACAAGCGCATCGGCTGCCCGTGGCACGGCCCCTTCCACGAGTTGACAGCACACGAGGCCGCGTGCGCTCACCCGACCAAGACGGGCAATGAGCTGATGGAGATCCTGGACGAGATGGACCAGGGCCGCCGCAAGGAGATGCAGCTTTACAACAGCATCTTCAGCTTGCTCAGCTTCGAGAAGATCGGCTACACAGGTGAGACATCGTGCTGCCCGCTGCATGCCGCTTAGGTGGGGGCTGCTCACAGGCACTGGGGGGAGCCCCTGCGAGGGCATGGGCCATGTTGTGGGGCACGCCTTGGGCAGAAGACAGCTGGAGACAGCAGAGGGCGGGCTGGGCCCCAGGGTGCAGCCGTGTGGCTCTCACAGGCCCCTGCCATCCTCTCCACTGGCCACTGCCGAGCAGAGGGGCGTCCACTGCGAGGGGCTCCTTGGACTTGGGACAGGCGGCATCCGACCAGAAGACGGGCGCATCCGCGGGAGGCCCAGGCAGTAGGCAAGAAGATGCTCGTCGGGCCAGGTCCCGCTGGGTGGGCACTGCGGGGCCAGGCCCCTGAGGCCAGCACAAAGCTGACTGGGCTCCAGAACGAACTGAGGGTGCCGCCCTGAACTGCAGAACAAAGTGGACACCACAGCCGGGCCGGGGACTGGGCAGGCTCATGGGTCTCGTGGGCTCCCCGGCCTCCACCTGCCTTCGGACGTGCTGGGGGCCAGGGCCCAGGACGAGCCCAGCGGAGAGGGGCACGGAACACCTGCTGACGCCAGCCTGCACAGGGACGCCGACCTCCACTGTCCACCACGCCAGCGGCCAGCTCATGGCCTGGGTGGTCATGGGCAGCCAGTAGCCAGTCACACCTCACTGCTTGGGCCAGCCCATTAGATGTGGGCTGTACGTGCCTGGGTAGTCGAGGGCCCACATCGCCTGAGACAGCAGCGGAGGCCACGGCCCCAGGTGGGTGCCGTGGCCCAGGCGGTCCGGGCCTCGTGGGGTCCGGGTGGCTGGGCATGTGACTGCTGCGGGGCTGGAGGCCCTGTCTGTGCAGGAAGGACTGGTCACCCGGGCGATGGCTCCTCTACCATGGACTCGCCAGCCATAGGCTGTGGGCAGAGCTGAGAGGACTCTGCAGAAGGCAGGGGCTGCCATTGCCTCATGGACCCTCCGAGACAGCCCCTAGCTGGAGGCTGGCCCTGGGTGTAGCTCGCTGTGCAGGCAGGGTGGGTGCTGGGCGTCTGCCCACCAGCTTTGCTGGCAGCTCTGTATCGGAACCAATAAAGCGCACTTGTTCTCAGAACTGCACCCTGTCTGTGTGTCTGCTTGCCCCACCCCGTGGGCAGAAGCCTCTCCCCTGCCTGGGCTGGGCCTGGGGCGAGGGGACCATGTTGTCAGGGGCCCCCTGGCCCTGGGCACTCACCTCTGGCAGCCTCCAGGCCAGTTTCCATGATCTCTGTCTGCAGTTGTTTCCCTCAAGGCGTGTGTCCGCGCCCGTTTCTTTGCCATTTGGCCAGTAGAACACGGTGAATGTCCTCCGGTAAGTGCTCCTCCTGCCTGCCCTGCCCGCTCTGACTGCTACCCCTGCCCTGTCTGTCTCCGCAGAGGTCCAGTTCCGGCCGTACCGCACGGACGACTTCATCACGCGCCTCTACTACGAGACGCCGCGGTTCACGGTGCTGAACCAGACGTGGGTCCTGAAGGCACGGGTGAACGACTCGGAGCGCAACCCCAACCTCTCATGCAAACGCACACTCTCCTTCCAGCTTATCCTCAAGAGCAAGGTCAATGCGCCCTTGGAGTGCTCCTTCTTGCTGCTCAAGGGCCCTTATGACGACGTGAAGATCAACCCCGTCATCTACCACTTTGTGTTCACCAACGAGAGCAACGAGACCGACTACGTGCCGCTGCCCATCACCGACTCGGTGGAGTGCAACAAGCTGCTGGCTGCCAAGAACATCAACCTGCGGCTCTTCCTGTTCCAGATCCAGAAGTAGCCGCCATGGCAGCCACACCGGGCCCACCGCAGACCTGGGCCGCCGCATCTCACACCCGGTCATTTCAGCATAAGGAGGAAACCACGAACCAAAACACATCGGGAAAAGTCTGCATGCATGTGGGACACGTGGCAGCCACGCCTCCGCCCCGCCCTGCCTGCGAGTGGCAGAGGGGATGCCTGAGCCCTGGAGGGTCGCAGGGCGGGTGCACCAGGAGTGGCCTGGACTATGCTTCCGGCGGCAGGGCAGCGCAGCGCAGCCTCCGGCGGCTCCGCGCTCAGCTCCGGGCTGGCTCGGGTCCTTGCTGACTCCAGAAGGCGTATTTGGTTGCAATTAAAAAGGCTCCCTTGCTTCCTACTTTCTGTTTTGTTGGAGGGGAAGGTGTGGCCGTGAGTGGACAGTGTGGAAGCCCAGCTCTGGTGTGGCCTGGAGCCCAACGGCACATAGGACGCCACAGGAGCCAGCCTGCCCCACTCAGCACCTGCGCCCTGTGTGCCCCCCCGAGAGACTTGAGATACCACCCCCACCTTGTCACAGGGCGTGAACAGCAGGAGAGCTGGGCGGTCCACGGCTCTGGAGGGGACTGACCAGGGCCGCCTGTCCAGCCCACCCAGGGAGGCAGGACAGGCTGCCAGGGCTCAGCAGACGTTTTCGGAATGCAGGGTGAAATTCTGTCTCTTCCTAGGAAAAAATTAAACTCTTTTCAGGCTCTTCTATAAATTATGCAATTTAGCAAGAAAATCTATTTTCTGTCTCCAGCCCCAAGGCCCAGCGGCCCTGGGCTCTGGGCTGTGGAGTGAGCTCTGGGGGCCAGGAGCGGCGGAGCAGGCCTGGCTGGGCAAGGGTCCGTCGAGGAGGTCAGGGTCTGTGGCTTCTCACCTGAGGGAGGCCGGCTCTTCCCAGCCTGTGTGGTGGCAGCTAGCCAGTTCCCTTGGGCTGGGTGTGCGCAGAGGCCAGGGCAGAAGGAGCCTGTGTTGGAGGGGCTGACCGGCATCCTTGTCTCCCCTGGGACCCTCGGCGCCCTGGGAAGCGTGAAGCCCCCCATTGTTTAGGAGGAGTGGCTGTTGTGCCGTAGCTTTGTGTTGCTTCTTCGATACCAAAGAACCAGGGTTCCTCTGCCCCCATGCTCACCTGGGTGACACCTGCAGAGAAGGTGACCTGGGGTGCCTGCCTGGGAGCGGGGTGGCCCCCTGCCTACGGGCGCAGCGCTGCTGGCCCAGCTGGCCCCTCCAGAGGAGCGTCTGAGCAGGACGCCTGGGCTTGGCAGTAGGCCCACCCCGCGCGGACAGCCGAGGGGGCATCGGGTGGAGGGAGGGGCTGTGGAATGGGACAAAGCCCAGATCCCTGAGCTTGGCTGGGTGGGTGTGGCCAGCGTGGCCTACGTGTTGGGGATCCCTTCTATTTGCCCCTCGCTGTCCGGCAGTTCCTTGGAGCTGTTGCTGAGAAGCCTGTTTGGGTTCCGTCCCAGCCAAGCAGCGAGGGAAACATTTCCTTGCTCACTGAGGCAGAGAAGGCGCACTAGGTTTCCAAGCTGCTGCTGCTGCAAATCAAGACCTTTGGCGCAGCCCTGGGCTGCAGGCCTGACTCCGGGGCTCCGTGCCTGAGTCCCACTAACTCGGGCCGCCCGCCGAGCACTATCCAGCCAGTGGGCCGCACCCCCTGCTCCCAGCTGCCCCTCATGGCAGAGGACGGCACTCAGGGTAGACGGTGTCTGTCAGGGTTGAGTGGGTGGCATGCTGGCTCTCGAGTCGCGCGCGCGCATGTCTGTGTGTGCGTGTCTGTGTCCGCACGTGTGCACGCGCGCGTGTGCGTGGGGGGGGGCTGTGCCGCCGCATCTCAGTGTCTCAGCGTTTCTGGATTCTAAAGTAACTGTGTTGGGGGTTGCTCCTGTCCGCACGTGTGTAGGTGCCTGTGAGGGGGTTCAGGCAGAGGGGTTGGCCTGGTGGGTCTCCTGGGGTGGGGAGGGGGTGGTGGGTGTGTCCCATGGTCGGCTTTGCTGGGCATAGCCAGGCTGGGACAGTGGCCTGGGGGGTGTGCTCCCTGGGAGGCTGGAGGCAGCGGGTCTCTACGTGCAGGTGGATAGATGTGGCTGCTCTGGGGACTGAGGATAAAGGCCTGCCTGGAGGAGGGGAAATCCCAGACTGGCTGGGCAGTCTCTGGGGGAGGTGGCCCTGTGAGGGTCCTTGTGTGGGGTATGTGTAGCCCCCTACTTTTGGCAGCTGGGCCTGCAGGGTGAGCGGGCAGTGCCCGAGGTCAGGGCGAGGCCCCGTAGGAAGGTGGGTGTGTGCAGGAGTGCCGTGGCATCATCCTCTCCCCGTCAGAGTTCACGCGAAGCTGAGCCTTACAGCCTGGTCGACCAGGCACCCTGGAAGATTGTAATATGCCCCTCACCACCACCGGAAGGGGGGCACCCAGAGCAACTGGCAGCACGGCCACCGTGGGTGACAGACTTACTGGCAAATGTCACGTCTGTGTTGTCCCACAACCTGCATCATCTCAGCATCCCGACCTGGTCCTTCACTGCCCTCTCATCTCGGAGGATCGGGGGTGCCTCAAGGGGAGAGGGAGAGGGTGGCTCTTCCCCCGTGAGCACTACACCCCTCAGTTTGCCCAAAAGGAGAAATTTACAAAAATAATAAAGATAATTTTTTAAAGAGCAAGCGAGAGGCGTTTTTACCCCTGTTGACAATGACTCACATGTCACTTTTGTGGTCCACGTTCTCTGGATGTTTTGTGTATGCAACTGTATTTTAAAAAAGTACTCCAAACCACGTCCTGTCTGTGTTTTCTTAAGAGAAGCCAGTCCCGGTGGATGGGCACCCCCCTGCCAGGGGTCCACAGTCCCTGCTGCCCACCAGCCTGTGGCTGCCACTCCCTGGCCCCTGGCAGCACCGCCTCATATACAAATCCCTGTCTGGTCAGTAGGCAAGTAGTCATGAGCAGTTGGGGGCTCCCCTATGCCCCTTCATCTGAGCGGCCCTGTCCCCCAGGCCCTTCACTGAGCTGGTCTGTGCTAACATGGCCTTGCAGTCTCTGCCTCACACCTCACACACCACCCTCGGAGTGGCTGCCTTGCTGTCAGAGCTGTGCTTTGGGTTGGCAAGGGGGTGGTGTAGGTCTCCCTGTCCTGCTTCTCACACCGGACTGGGCAGAGCGTCTCCTGCCCAAGAGGAAGACTACCTGGATCAAGCGCCCACCTCAGGCGGCCCACACCTGCACAGCTCTGCCTGTGGGCACCCTCGCCACACCTGGAAGCCAGCCTCTGCTGCCCGTCAGCGGGGGCAGTGGGTAGCCCTCCCTAGACCCAGGAGCCCAGGCTCGGCTGCCATTGGCCCTTGCTGTCCATCGAGGGGCCAAGGGTTTTACCCCATTGGGCCAGTTTTGGTTATGAGAGAAATGCATCAATTCTTGCTCCTCTGGACCTCAGTGGGTACTCTAGACCCTCGGCCTCCCCTTGGCAGGGCTTTGGGACACCTGCTGTGTCACCAGGCAGCCCAGGGCTGGGCTCAAGGGGTAGCCTGGACTGACAGCTGACCAGGGCTGCCCCTGGGAGCATTTGGTCTTCGCAGTACTGGGGGACAGTGCAGACATTTGGAGGTTTGTGTCCTGGGCTGCCCCAAGTCCACCTGACTGCCACACATCTCACCTGGCGTCACTCAGGTGAGGAGTCTGGTTTACAGCCCCTGAGCCTAGATTCTAACTCCAGTTCACCCTTCAACACAAAGCATTTCTGCAGTTTTAACGTATATACACTGAATTCTCCAGGAATGCAGCTGGTGTGCGGTGAGGAAACGGTACCTCGCTGTTCATTTTGGAAATCACCTTCCCTTTCCCCAACAGCATGGGGGTTTCGGCCATCAAATAGGACTCCCCTGTGCCTGTCGGCAGCCGGCCTGTGTCCTGGGCTCTGCGGAAGGGGTGCATCTGACACTCGTGTTCATGTACCCAAACATTCAAGTATAGCTTATTATAAGTCACTTTTATGTCCCTTTATATCAGAGCATTATGTTCCTTTTTCTAAGTTGTGTATGTAGGAGACTTTTGTCTTCTTTAATTGAATTTCAATAGGCAGTAAGGGGCGACGTTACAGAATATTGTAAGGGAAGGAGACGGTGGACTCCGGGTCTGAGCGGGTTGCGAGCATCCAGTTCGGCTGGCAGCTCAGGGGCTGGAGCCCGGAGACCCCACCTCAAGGGGGAGGGGGCGGGCTGCGTGAAAGGCCGGCTGCCGTACACACCTCTGCCGCACAAGGCTCTTTGCTGTCCACGGCGGGGAGCTGGTCGGAGGGGTCGACGGACATCCGGGGGACAGGGATGGGCAGGAGGCTGCGCGACCACCGGAGCCCCTGGGCTGGGCCGACTGCGGGTCGGCCTGGAGCCCCGCACTCCCTGTCCGCGTGTCTGCCGACTGCTAGGAGGAACAGCGTGTGTCCACCAGGTACTTCTTGGGCTCGGGAGACCACAGGCCCGGGCAGAGTGCTCAGGTCTTGGGGGGCGGCCCTGTGAGTCCAGGGAAGCGCGGGTCCTCCCCGGCTCGCCCCATTAGCGCTGCTCCTCGGCCCCTGGGCCAGCCGGACTACAATTCTCAGGAGTCTTGGGCGCGGGGGGGGGGGCAGACTACATTTCCCAGGATGCTCCGCGACCCAACCCACGCCCCCCACGCCGTCGCCGCCGACGCCAACGCCCAGAAATGAGACTGAGCCTGAGGACAGGGCTGGTAGCGAAGCAGCGGGAACTGAAGGGTGGGACTGGGCCTGCGCGCGAGGCTGGGGCGGGGCCTCAGGAGTTGAGGGGCGGGGCTAGGCCTGCGCGCGGGGCCGGGGCGGGGCCGTGGGAGCGCGGGAAATCCGGATCTCCGCGGCGGCGGCGACCCGACTGCAGCATGAGCTTGGAGCGCGGGCTTCGCCGTGAGTCCCCAGGGCGCCCGGAGCGCGGGGGAGCGGGACTCGGACCCGGCCGGGGCCGGCGGCTCTCGCACTGGGCGGGCTCCGCTCACCCTGCTCACCCTTCCTCTCCTTCCTCCGCAGAGCTGAGCAAGGCCAAAGCCAAGGCCCAGCGAAGCGGGCAGCTGCGGGAGGAGGCCGCCTCCTGCCACCAGCTGGGGGAGCTCCTGGCCAGCCATGGTGAGTGCCGCCCGCGGGGCCGGGGCCGGGGAGGACGGAGCTCCCGCGCCCGCCTTGCACCCCTGGCTGCCGGCCGGGCTGAGCCTGAGGCCCTCTGTGCCCCGCCGCCCAGGCCGCTACGCAGAGGCCCTGGAGGAGCACCAGCAGGAGCTGCAGCTCCTGGAGAGCGCGGACGACGCCCTGGGCTGCGCGGTGGCCCACCGCAAGATCGGGGAGCGGCTGGCGGAGATGGAAGACTACTCAGCCGCCCTGAAGGTGTGGGGAGGGGGAGGACCAGCTCTCATACGAGCCACACCCCAGCCTGGGGTCGGCCTGCACTTTTTGGGGTCCCTTTCTGAGGAGGGAGGCATGGTCTCCAGTAGAGGGAGAGGAGAGATGTGCCGTGAGGGGGCCTCAGGGAGCCCTGTGACTGGTCAGGTAGCCTGGTCCGGGGGTGGGGCACCGCAGCCCCTCCTGGAGCCTGGGCAAGAACAGATTCCCTGCCCAGAAACTGTTAATGAAAAACATTAGTTGAGCTGCGTTCATGGATCAGGGCTGCCCTCGCTGCTGGGGGCGGGGCTGTGGCACCCCAAAGCAAAAAAAAAAAACCTAGCCCAATGCCATCAAGTCGATTCCGATTCATAGAGACGCTGCAGGACAGAGTAGAACTGTCTGCCCCATAGGGTTTCCAAGGAGCAGCTGGTGGATTCAAACTGCATACGTTTTGGTTAGCAGCTGTAGCTCTTAATCACTGCACCACCAGAGCTCCTTGTGGTGCCCTAGCGCCTTCTGATGCTGATGTCCACTTCTCCCCTATGATGCCACTAGCTGGTTGACGCATCGGGGGCAGCTGTCACCACAGACAGCCCTTGGCACAGAGGAGATGGGAGATGTGGGGCCTGGCCTTCACCTGTTCTATAGGGGTCTTGGGGGAGAGGGAGCTCCCCTGGGGAAGGTTGGTTTGCTTGAGTTCCGTCGGCCCACAGCAGTGGTCCCCCTTCCTGCCCCAGCACCAGCACCGCTACCTGGAGCTGGCGTGCTCCCTGTCCAACCACGTGGAGCTGCAGAGGGCCTGGGCCACCGTCGGCCGCACCTACCTGGACATCTATGACCACAGCCAGTCGAGGGATGCCCTGCTGCAGGCCCAGGCTGCCTTTGAGAAGAGTTTGGCGATTGTGGATGAGAAGCTGGAGGGTAGGTGCCCTCCAGGGGCCTGGCCCTGGCCCGCCGCCAGCTGCGGGCGGGGGAGGCTGCTGCCCCACCACCAGCCTGGTGTGCGTGGCTGGTTCTGCCCGCTGGGGGCCTCCCTGTGCGCGAAGCCCCTCCTGAGGGAGGGTGTGCTGCCCGTGCCTCAGAGACCTCCCGTTAGCAGCCGTCTGCTCTTGCCCTTCGCCCTTGATGTGTCTGCAGCAGGGCCCTTGATGCCCACATTGGGGGCGGGGTGAGGCTGGACAGGGCGCAGGGCCAGGCTGGGGACCCCGATTGGGGACAAGGCGGCCGAGCGTCTAGGGGTGCATCTTGCAGGGGCTGTGGCCCATCGAGAGCTGATTGAGATGAGGACTCGGCTCTACCTAAACCTGGGCCTCACCTTTGACAGCCTGCAGCAGGCGGCCCTGTGCAGCAACTACTTCAAGAAGAGCATCTTTCTCTCTGAGTAAGGCCCCTGCTGGCCCTGTTCCCTGACCCAGGGAAAGCAGGCGTGGGTGGCAGCTCCCTGGACCACCCTCGAGGGCAGTATGGTTGGGCCTTGCCTCTCCCTTTGTGCTGAATGCCAGGAGGAGCAGGCTGGATTTGGCTGGTGCGGGGGTGGAGAAGCCCCTGACTGAGGCTCAGCGGCCCTGGCCTCCAGCATAATGAGTACCTATAATTTATCAGGCACTCACTGCTTGTTAGCGACCACCTGAAGTGCCTCAGGTGCAAGATCTCTTCTATTCTGCAAGCGAGAGTGTCCCGGGGGCCCTGAGTACCTGTGCTCCCCCCCCCCCCAGGCAGAACCACCTCCACGAGGACCTGTTCCGTGCCCGCTACAACCTGGGCACCATCCACTGGCGTGGGGGGCAGCACTCCAAGGCCATGCGCTGCCTGGAGGGCGCCCGGGAGTGCGCCCGTGCGCTGAAGAGGGGGTTCATGGAGAGCGAGTGCTGTGTGGTGATCTCGCAGGTGTGCAGGCAGCCCCAGAGCCCTGGCCAGGCAGGCCTCTGGGCAAGATACGAGTCTCGCCTTCTTCCCTTGTCCCTCAGATTCTCCAAGACCTGGGGGATTTCTTGGCTGCCAAACGTGCCCTGAAGAAGGCTTACAGGCTGGGTTCCCAGAAGCCTTTGCAGAGAAAGGTGGTCTGCAGTAACCTCAAATATGGTGAGACTGGCAGGGGGACTCGGGGTGCAGAAATGCCACGGAAAGGGGTGGGGAGCTGGGGAGGGCTCCTGGCCCCTCGCAGAGGGGCCTAGGCATGTCTCCTTGGGAAGGCAGCACCTTCAGTACCGGGGCCTCTGCCGACAAGAGGGGTAGGTCCCCACCCCCCTCCCCACCGGAGGGCGACCGCTCCTCTTCTCTGAGCCCGCGGCACGTGTGGAAGAGGTGGTGGGAGACCAGCAGGACGTTGACTTGCCAGCCAGCTCTGTTAGCACCCTAGGACTGCTATGCAAAGTACCGTGAAGTGGGGGTGGGGGTCTGACATCAGGGTGCTGGTTATGTTGGTTCCTTCTGAGTTTTGAGGGAGAATGTGTCCCAGGCCTTTCTGACAGCTTCTGGTGGCTCCAGGCCTTGCCGCTCAGCTGCGGTGTCACATGGCCGTCCCTTGTCTCTGTGTGTCCTCTGGTTTTATGAGGGCGCCACTCACAGAGATGAGGACTCACCCTAACACCCGGCGTGACCTCACGCTAACCAAGGACGTTTTGAAGACCCCTGTTTCCAAACGGGGTCGTATTCGTAGGCTCAGGGGTTGGGATTTCAGCATATCTTTTTTGGGGGCACAGCTCAATTCATAACACCAGCTTCTTCATTGGCAAGCTAGAGATAACTTTTGTCCCCCCACCCAGTAGGACAGGGATCCAATGCCCACGGGCTGAGTAGCTCGGGGCACTAATGACTGGGGGTTCGCAGTAGGTGACAATAGCAGGCTCTCCCCCGAACCAGGTGTCATTGTGAAGTTCAGTAGTCCTCCTATGGGGTAGGCTCTCTTGCTGCCCCGTTTCACCAGAGGGTGTGAGGCCTGGAGTGGTTGGTGGCCTGCCTCTGGGCACACAGCCAACAAGGGACAGCGCCAGGAGCAGGGCCCCACGCTGCGCCGGCCCCTGGCACGAGGCTCTTCCCGCAGTGTTGAAGGTGATCCGGCTGCAGCAGCAGCTGGGGGAGGCCAAGGGCCAGGACCCTGAAAGTGCCATGGGCATCTGTGAGCAGCTGGGGGACCTGTTCTCCAAGGCAGGTGACTTCCCCAAGGCAGCCGAGGCCTACCAGAAGCAGGTGTGCAGCCCAGCTAGGGTGGGGTGCTCCTGGGGGGATAGGCGGTGGCGGCCCCTGGCTGGGGCGAGATGCCCCGGGAGGGAACAGGGTGGGGGCGGTGACGGGGCCTCACCAGCGCTGGCTTCCCAGCTGCACTTGGCGGAACTGCTGGGCCGGCCAGGGCCTGAGCTAGCTGTCATCCACGTGTCCCTGGCCACCACCTGGGGTGACATGAAGGAGCCGGGCCGGGCAGTGCACCACTACGAGGAGGAGCTGAAGCTGCACAGTGGGAACCCCCTGGAGGTGAGGTGCACTGTCTCCCGCCCGTGTGGCACAGGTCTCCCCTACTGTCCCAAGGGCTCTGCCTCACCCTGCGCTGGGGGGAGCTAGCTGACAGGCATCTCCCTCCCCCACGGGCATGGGCAAGGCTCGGTGCCAGACCTTGCTGTCGCAGGAGGCAGCGGTGGGGTTGGGGGGGGAGCTGGTCCAATGTGGTGGGCAGTGTGGCCACGGCTCGTCCCTCCTCCATCCGCTCCAGGAGGCGAAGACCTGGTTCAACATTGCACTGTCCCGAGAGGAGGCTGGGGATGCCTATGAGCTGCTGGCACCGTGCTTCCAGAAGGCACTCAGCTGTGCCCAGCAGGCCCAGCGGCCCCGGCTGCAGGTGCGAGAGCTCTCCCTCCCACCCACGTGCAGACCCCTCCAAACCCCGGCTTCCCTTGCAGCCCAGCTGACCCCCTTGATCTGCGTCACCCATCTCTTACCCCCCATGAGGTGGCTGGGCTGGCATCCCCCCTCACCCTTCCCTGAGCTGTCTGCTCTCCCCGGAGCCACCCTACCCCTCTCTGCCCCCTGCCCCTCAGGGGCGCATCCTGCAGCACCTCCACACGGTGCAGCTAAGGCTGCAGCCCCAGGAGGCCCCTGGCACCGAGGCCAGACTTCAGGAGCTGAATGTGGCCAAGGATGGGGAGGAGGATGAAGAGGAGGAGGAGGAGAACGAGAACAGTGAGGCTCTGGAGGTCAGCGAGGTGGAGCTCTCAGAGAGCGGTGAGGGCACTTGTCACCCTGGTGCTGTGCCAGCTGCCTGGTGTCCTCCTAGGCGGCTACCTTGAGCAAGGCCAGGTGGGGCTGCCCTGAGGCCTCCTCGTGCGGGAGGGTTCACCGGCATCCCAGGGAGGTGGGCAGAGGCAGAGGGGTCATGCTCCCCGGCATCCAGGCTGCGTGCTGGGAGCCTGAGGCAGGCCCAGAAGCACCTGGGGGAAGTGGTGGTCGGAGTGTGTTGGCCAGGTGAGGGGGCAACAGGGTCAGAGGCCAGGGACAGTGCTGTCAGAAGTGGACAGACATTAAGACCAGCCCAGTGCAGGTGGGGTGCATCATGGGGGCCCTTGGGCGGCTGGGTTAGGACTTTCCAGAAAACCCTGAGAGCTGGTGCAGGTGCTTCTCCGGGGGGATGCGGAGGTCAGCTGTGTGGGGGTGGGTGTGAGCTCGAGGCTGGGAGGAGTTAGGTCTGGTTGCCAGGCGGAGGAGGTGAGAGGGAGGCGGGTGAGAGTGCTGGCTTCTGGCTGGAGTGACACGTGGCTGGGGCGTTCCCTGAGCCTGGGAATGGCAGGAGAGCCGTGACTTCCATCTTGAAATTGAGGTGCTATGACCCCCAGGTGAGGGGTCCAGGAGGCCAAGAAAGTTCAGGCTTAAGAGGAGGGAGTCAGGCTGGTTGCTGGGGTGCAGGTGGTGCCTGCCCTGCGGGGGTAGAGGACTAAGAATTGGAGCTTTCGGGACTGCCACTCAAGAGACAGGCAGGGTAAAAGGAGCTGTGATGAAGAAGGTTCCAGAAAGGCTGAGACAGCAGGACGGCCAACGGGGACAGAGGTCATCCTGAGGACTGGGGTGGGCATGACATCCCGGGAAGAGGTGGGGGTGGGCTGTGTTCGCCGCACCAGGCATGGGGGTGTTGGAGCTCTGGGGAGGGGTGTGGCCGCACACACAGACACCGGTAGAGAGTGTCGCCGGAGCGTGCAGGCTCCAAGGATGAGCGGTGTTCACGGTGGGGTGCCTTGGCCCGAGACCAGTGCATGAGAGGGGTGAGCAGAGGTCTGGGCGGGGAGCCCATGAGCGGAGCAGGGGCTGGGGGCTAGGGCAAGGGAGGGGGCTTGGTGGGGAAGGAGGGTCAGGAGCATCCCCTAGGGTAGAGGGTGAGGGCAGCAGGGACCCGTGGGTGGAAGTGGGGCGGTTTCCAGAGGGGGATAGCAGCAGAGCAGGGCTCAGCCTGGGGCCACGTCTGGCAGATGAGTCCCCCGGAACCCCTGGCCACCAGCTCAGCCGCTCCTGGTTGGAGAGCCAGCGGGCGGGTTTCTAATGTTCACAGGGGTGGGTGGGCTTGGCTCTTCCAGAGGATGAGCCGCCAGAGGAGGATGAGGAGCTGCGGGGCTGCCTGGGCCAGTGGAAGGTGAACAAGGTGAGGACCCCGTGACCACCCCTGCCCCCGGGCACACCGGCCCCGTCCAGCCCCCCCTCACGCCCTGTCCTCACGGACGGCTGTGCCCACAGTGGAACCGGCGGAACGACATGGGTGAGACCCTGCTGCACCGAGCCTGCATTGAGGGCCAGCTGCACCGCGTCCAGGACCTGGTGAAGCAGGTGGGCCCCCAGACCCCCACGTCTTGTCCTGGCTCACCTGGGGTCCCCCCATCCCAGCACCCCCCCCAGGCTCCTTCCAGCTCCTCGCAGCCTGGAGCCCTCCCTAGCCAGGCTGCTTGCTGTCCCTGGTCCAGGGCCACCCTGTCAACCCTCGGGACTACTGCGGATGGACACCCCTGCATGAGGCCTGCAACCACGGGCACTTGGGTGAGTGTGAGCCAGGCGGGTCTGTGTACCAGGGGGTGGGGGCCCAGGGGTGAGGTGGGGGCTCAGTGCTGGGCTCACGTCCCTCACCGGCCCACAGAGATCGTCCGCTTCCTGCTGGACCACGGGGCCACAGTAGACGACCCAGGCGGCTCAGGCTGCGAGGGCATCACCCCACTGCATGATGCCCTCACCTGCGGCCACTTCGAGGTGGCTGAGCTGCTCATTGAGCGTGGTGCATCTGTTACCCAACAGACCACCAAGGTGAGCGGAGCAGGCGGGTGGGGGCGGGGCCGCAGATGGGGGGCAGCTTTGCCAGCTGGCTCAGGGCCCACCGTGACCCCCTTCAGGGCCACAGCCCCCTGGAGACGCTGCGGCAGTGGGTGCGGCTGTACAGCAGGGACCTCGACGAAGAGACGTGGCAGAAGGCTGGCGCCATGGAGAGGCTGCTCCGGACAGCCGCGGCGGGCCTAGGCAAGCAGAGACACGTGCTGGCCCCAGGGACAGCGCCCAGGGGTGCCCTGAGGGGAAGCTGTGGCAGGCATGGCAGGGACAGTGCCTGGCACCCTTGTCTTACCTGGATCCTTTCCTCCCCACAGCTCCCCAGGGCTCCCAGGCGCCCCCGGCCTTTCCGAGTAATTCCCTATTTGACCCTGAGACCTCTCCTCCCTCAAGCCCCTGCCCAGGATCCCCCTCTTGTGATCCAAGGCCCCCAGAGGCCTCACAGGCCCGTGGCAGGCTCTCCCCCAGGCAGGCGGCACCCACCGTGACCAGGCCTCGAAGGGGCCGGCTCGGGCTGACTAGCAGCAGCAGCTCGGAGAGTGAGGACAGCGAGGGCCCCTGCCAGCCAGCACAGAAGAGGCCTCGGCCCTCAGCATCTGCCGAGCGGGTCCCAGCCCAGACGGCCAGCCTTGCCGGGGACAGAGAGGCAGCCGTGGCCAGTGCCAGCCGGGCGGCCTACCAGGCAGCCATCCGGGGCGTGGGCAGTGCCCAGAGCCGCCACCTGGGGCCCAGCCAGCCTCGGGGCCTGGGTGAGGCCCCAGCCCCCTGGGCAGCCCTGGTCCCCGAGGAGGAATGCCTGGATGGAGACTGGCTGGAGGACGACTCGCCCTTGACTCTGGGCCGCCAGAGGGGCAGCCGCCCACCCCACCCCCCAGGCAGTGGGAACGGCACCAGGTGCGAGGCCTCGGGCTCAGGTAGCAGCGAGCGTCCCACCAGGCCCCGGACCCGGCAGAGCCGCCTGACCTCGATCCACAAGAGTTGGCGTATGGAGGTCAAAGCCAACACAGAGGCCAGCTCAGCTGCAGAGCCCCCAGGGAGCCCCGACATTCCCGAGACCTCAGGTCCTGGGGAGGACAGCCTCTTGGCAGGCCAGCCCTCGGTGGGTGTGTGCTAACCAGAGCAAAGTTCTCCCTAGCTCCTCGGGACCAGTGGGGGTGGCAGGGACCACTGCAGTGCACTGCAAGTTCTGTCCTGACTTGCCTCTCTTCCCCCTGCCCTGCCCACCAGGGCCCAGCCCTGCCCCCACCCATCCGGGTTCGAGTCCGAGTTCAGGATAATCTCTTCCTCATCCCCGTCCCACACAGGTAAGGTGATAGCCTGCCTCCCTCATCCTGCTGCAGCTCCGGTGGCCTGGGATGTGTGACGAGACTTGGCAGGGTCCCTGGTGGTTGGAATGGAGCCACAGGCCCGGGCAAGGGCACAAGCATAGGCCAGCAGGGTCCCTGGTGGTCCCGGCAGGCCCTGTGGCCGTGTGGAACAGCCCAGAAAAGCCATAGGTGTGCCCAGCTACAGGCAGGGCCTGGCATGTCCCGAGCACGGCAGTGTGGAGCTGGACGGTCCAGGGAGGGGCCAGAGGGGGAGCTGTGGACCCCGAGCAAGATGTGTCTGGGAGCCAGGCATCTCCACTGAGTCTGGGCTCAGCGCCATCTGCCCCACAGCACCAAGGCCCGCTCCGTGGCCTGGCTGGCCGAGCAGGCTGCCCAGCGCTACTACCAGACCTGTGGGCTGCTGCCACGGCTGACATTGCGGAAGGAAGGGGCCCTGCTAGCCCCGCAGGATGCCATCCCTGACGTGCTGCAGAGCAATGAGGAGGTGAGCAGGGGGACCAAGGGGCTGGGTGCCGGGCGCCATGGGGGCCTCACTGACCTCACTGTGTCTTCCAGGTGCTGGCTCAAGTGACTTCATGGGACCTACCCCCACTGGCCGACCGCTACCACAGGGCCTGCCAGAGCCTGGGGCAAGGTGAGGGCCCGAGAGCCACTGCTGCGAGGTAGAGGCCAGGCAGGGGCCCAGGCGCCCCTCAGGACACCCCTCCTTCCAGACCCATCTGAGTCTTTACCGCTGCAGTTAGATGGAGTCTCCCTTCCCCGCTGCAGGGGGCTGGTGCCTGGGTGCTGCACCCTGTGCTGGCACTGGGGCTGGCAGGTGGGTGAAGACGGCTCCGATTTTCCAGGTTCCACCTGGAGGGAGTCAGGGCAGGGCCACCAAAAGTCACATAAGGAGAGTTTGGTGTGAGCTGGGACCCGCAGGAGAGGCTTGTCTTGAGGACTGAGCAGTGAGGGGAGAGACAGCTGGTAGAGGGTCAGCCTGACGGGTTGCGGAGCTGACATGGCAGAGGCGGGTCAGCTGTGCCCCAGGTGCCACCAGGGCTGGTGAGGATGGGCTGCCTAGTCGCCCCCACGATTCAGGGCAGAAGGGTATTGCCCACCTGTCCTGGTGACACCGTGTCCCCCACAGCGGAGCACCCACAGGTGCTGCAGGCTGTGGAGCGCCAGGGCTTGGGTCCGACGTTTGGTGTCTGCTCGCTGGCCCTGCGCCAGGCCCAGCTCACCCCCCTGCTGCGGGCCCTCAAGCTGCACGCAGCGCTGCGGGAGCTACGGCTGGCAGGGAACCAGCTGGGGGACGGATGCACTGCTGAGCTGCTGGCTGCCCTGGGCACCATGCCTAGCCTGGCCCTCCTCGACCTCTCCTCCAACCACCTGGGCCCGGCCGGCCTGCACCAGCTTGCCTCGGGCCTCCCAGGCCAGGCCGCCTCTCAGGTAGGGCCCAGAGCATGGTCCTGGGTGGGGCAGGATGGGCTCTGCGGGGAGGAGACCTGGCCGCTGTGGCTCTGGAAGCCAAGTGCCAGTCTGTGTCTCCTGCAGAGCTTGGAGGAGCTGGACTTGAGCATGAACCCCCTCGGAGACAGCTGCGGCTTGGCCCTGGCCTCCGTCCTCCGGGCATGCCCCTCACTCAGCACCCTGCACCTCCGGGCCTGCGGCCTTGGCCCCAGCATCTTCCTGAGCCACCAGGCAGCCCTGGGTGGAGCCTTCCAAGGTTAGCTGTCAGGCACATCCAATCCCTGGCCAAAGCGCTGGGTTCCAGCTGCCTCGAGGGAAGGTGTGTTGAGAGGCTTCCAAACCAACCAAACCCCTTGCTGTCGAGTCGATTTCGAGTCATAGCAGCCCTGTGGGACAGAGCAGAACTGCCCCATGGGGTTTCCAAGGAGCGCCTGGTGGTTTCCAACTGCTAGCCTTCTGGTTAGCAGCCGTCGTTCTTAACCACTATGCTACCAGGATTTCCGTTGAGAGGCTTAGACGCCCTGAAAACACCCAAGCCAGGCTTCTCCAGGAGGGACTGGGCTTCAGAGGGTGTGCAAGTGGACGGATGTGTGGGCTGGGGGCCCGTAAGGGGCATTTGGTGCTTGCCAGCCTGGGCTGTGTGCCCCCCAGGGTGAGTCCCAGGCATGCAGCCCCCTGCGCTCACCAGCTCTGAGCACTGTCTTTGCCTACAGCAATCCCACCATGAGCCCACCCCAGGCTGCAGAAAGCAGTGGTCCCAGGGGACAGGGTTGCCCAGTCGGAGCACCACCCCACTCTGCAAAGTCCTGGTGGTGCAGTGGTTAAGAGCTCGGCTGCTAACCAAAAGGTCGGCAGTTTGAATCCACCAGGCGCTCCTTGGAAACCCTATGGGGCAGCTCTGCTCTGTGCTGTAGGATTGCTCTGAGTCAGAATCGGCTCCACCGCACACAACAACCACTCTCTGTCCTACACACAGACATCCTGATCTGGGGCACTGCTTCGGGCCACTGAAACGCTCCTGTCTTGGGGGAAGGGGTGAAGAAAGGCCCCCAGAGCTGGTGGAGAGAGGTTGGGCTCCAGAGGCTGGCCCTTTCAGCCTCTCTGAACCTCAGTTTCCCACACACAAGGAGTCAGGATGACAGCTTCCCTGCAGAGGGGTCTTGAGGGTCTTGAGGCGGGGGTTGCCACGTGGGGCTGACGGAGGCTCTGGCCTGTGCAGACGCTGAGCGCCTGAAGACGCTGTCCCTGTCCTACAACGCCCTGGGTGCACAGGCCCTGGCCCAGGCCCTACAGAGCCTGCCCATCAGTACCCTCCTGCACCTGGAGCTCAGCTCCGTGGCAGCCGGCAAGAGAGAGGCAGGGCTCATGGAGCCCGTGGTCAGGTATCTGACCAAGGTATGAAGTGGGCTGAGATGGGGAGGGGCCACCATACCCCCAGGGTTGGTCACAGTGTCCTGGCTGGTGGGCTGTGGGAAGGCTGGGAGGGCCTCACCTCAGCTGGGACCTACCCACCAGTGGTGACCCCTGGGTGAGGGGTAGGGGGCTTGGAAAGAAAAGCTGCAGGGGCGGCCTGCCTCCAGGGCTGCTTCCCCCCACCCCCACTCCAGGCAAGTGGTCCCAGGTCCAGGGGCCACGCCCAGGGCTCATGGGGACTCTTTGAGTCCAGTCACAGTATGCTGAGTTTGACTCACACCTGGAAGGAGAGGCACTTCCTTGGAGCATCTTCTGAACTCCAAACTGAGGGACATGCTCCCTGTGGCTGGGGGATGAGGCTTCCTCTCTGTGCACCCCCTTCCTGAGGAGGGGGCATTGCAATGGCCTCGGGGGGGGCATTCTTCCTTGGCCCTGACCCAAGTGACCTTGCCGCCCCCTGGCTGCTGCTGTGTCTAGGAGGGCTGTGTGCTGTCATACCTGACCCTGTCTGGAAACCATCTGGATGACAAAGCTGTGAGAGACCTGAGCAGGTGACCGCCCCACGGCCCACCATCCTGAGGGAGGGGTCTCAGTTCATGGGGGAGCTGGTCAGACAGGAGGGCCGCAGGGGTGGTGTGAGCCCCTCAGGGTGTCCCAGCCAACCCCTCCTCTGAGGGTATCCTGAGGTCCAGCTGCCCTCCAGCTTCCACCCCGGCCACGTGACACACACCCCTCCTGGCTCTCTCTCCACACTCTCTGGCTCTTCTCCGCGGGTTGTATCCCTGCTTTTCACCCTGTTTGCACTGAGCGCTCGAGCCCCAGCTGGCTCTAGAGGGTATCAGCAGGTGCCCGAGCTGGGCTAGGCATACCTGGGCCAACCACTGCAGTCCTGATGCCTGGCAGTGCTGGTCAGGGCTGAGCTGCCCGCCTGTTGGGGCTCCCTGTGCAGCTGCCTTCCCTAGCGATGCGGTGGGGGCTCCATCCCGGGAAGCTGACCCCTGTGCTTCTCCTCCCATGCTCCCCTCAGTTGTCTCCCTTTCTGCCCCTCGCTCGTCTCACTGGACCTGTCTGCCAACCCTGAGGTCAGTTGTGCCAGCCTGGAGGAGCTCCTGTCCGCCCTCCAGGAGCGGCCCCGCGGCCTTAGCTTCCTCAGCCTGTCAGGTGAGGGCCTGGGCCCCCCTCCCTCGCCACTGTGGCCCCCTGCTCATGCCCAGGGGACGGGGTGGGGGGAGGCTGATGTGGCAGGGACGTGATGGGCACCCCCCAGCATGGACAGATGAGCCCAGTTCCTAAGCCTCAGGGCCGCCCCCCCGATGCTTGGCAAACACGGCGAGTGGAACCCCTTCACCGGTGGGAAGAAGGAGTCCAGGGTGGCTAGGGGTGCCACCAAGGGCCCTCCCACCCCCTGGCAGGGGGCTGCTCTGGCCCATCTGTGGTCAGTGGTAGCTTGTTCTCGTCCTGGCCATGCCAGGACAGTTCCCCCCAGAGCTGTTTGGAGGATGACCTGCTGTTCTTGCCTGGCAGCCCAACTGGGGCCTCTACCTTCCAGGGCTCACATCTCCAGGCCAAGGAGCTGGGGGTGGGCGTGCACATGGGAGCCCCTGGGTACCTCCTATGCCCTCCCCCAAGGCCACGCTGACTCCTCCATTAAGGCACCCCTGAAGGCAGACTGGTGGGAGACCTGTACTCTGCTGAGGGCCACTCCCCCTGCACCGAGCTCCCAGGGTCCTGAACCTGCTGGGGGCTCCCTGGCCTCTTGAGAATCAAACCTTGGCAGCCTAGCGCTCTCCTGAGCTAACCCGGACCCACAATTTACAGGTTCGGGGCAGGCATGTTATGTCCATTATACAGATAGGAAGACTGAGGCGCAGTCAGACCTTGAGAGCAGAGCGCAGTCAGAGGCAGAGACTGGGCCCAGCGTTTATTTGAGCCAGCCTCCCTCGTGCTCTATTACTGGCTATGCAGAGGAGCCCGTGCTTCTCCGGGCCTCCATCCAGCTTTTGGAGCCCCAGGCGGGATGTGTGTCTTCCCAAGACCACATTGGTAAAGACGGAAGAACATGGGCTTGGGAGCCCCCATGGGACCTGTGGCAGGCCACTTAAACACCTAGCACTTGTGGTCCCGAACCCAGGTTCTGCCAGAAGCAGCTCCCTGAGGTCTGTTCTTGCCACCCCGCAGGCTGCGCCATCCAGGGCCCCCTGGGCATGGGCCTCTGGGACAAGATCACTGCGCACCTGCAGGAGCTGCAGCTGTGCAGCCTGCGCCTCACGCCTGAGGACCGGGAAGCCCTGCGCCGGGTGCTGCCCAGCCAGCCGGGCCCTGGAGTGTGCACTTTGGACCGTGGCGCCAAACTCTTCTTCAGGTGCCTCTGAGAAGCCGGCGCCTCGCTCCCCCACCCGCCCACCAGATGCGCCCAGCTGCGGACATTGCGAAGCCCTCAATAAACGAATCTGCTGCCTCCACCTTTGCTGCCTGAAATAGGGAGGGTGGGACTGGCGGCTCACTGTGGTAGGGCAGCCGAGGCCCTTTCCCCCGGGGACCCACCCTCCTGAACGCCACACAGGATGCGGACCCCGGGCGCTGACTCCTGCTCTCGGAGCTCACTCGCGCGTCAGTAAAGCCCCGGACCACACGTGCTAGTCCTGGGCGGGTTCCGCCCCTAGTCGCGTCGGGGGCGTGGTCGGCAGTCCTGGCCGTGCCGCCCCAGGGCGCAGACATGACGGGCGAGCGCCGAGCCATAGATCGGGCGTGTCCCCGGTCCTGCGCAGGCGCAGACTTGAGGGGCGAGCGCCGGGCCGTCGGTCGGGAGCACCCCGCCCTCGGCGCCATCTCTCGGACTTGCCGACCCCGCCAGGTACGTGGGGCGGGGGGACGAGGGGAGGAGGCGGCGGGGCTGGGCGGAAGAGGGCGACTCTGGTCCGGGCCCTCTGAAGTGTCCGGGTGTCTTGCCGTCGCCAAGGAGACCCCTCCCCGCGCTGCGGTTTCCTGGGCCGCCAGGCGCGTCCTGGTGTTTGCCCTCCCGGTTTTGGGGACTTCTCTCGGCATCTCCTGATCTGTTCCCCGATGGGGACTGCGTCTTTCCCTTCCGCCCGGGGTTTTCCCCGACCCTCCCTCCCACCATGTCGTGAGGTTTTCCTCTTCGCGCCGCGGGGTGGACTCGTGGTTCGCAGCAGTTTCCCCGGGGGTAGGAGCGATGCCCCGCGCCCCTCGCGCCTCGCCAGTCGTCTCATTCCGGAGCTCTGACCCCTGACCCCCGGTTCCCTGGGCCTGTCTCTCCACTGGGCCCCGCCGGAGCCCCTCGTTCCGTCCGAGCACCTCAGACATTGGCCACCCACCATCGCGCAGGACAGAGACCCAGGCGTCCCAGGCCCCGCATCCTGTCAGCCCCAAGTCCTGCGAGTTCCAGCTGCCAAATACCCCTGTCATCCCCATACCCAGCCGGGGTCACCATTACTACCCGCCAGATCGACTGTGGCAGCCTCGAGCGTCCCACAGTAACGCTGTGCTTCCCCTAAACCAAAACGAGCCTGGCACCGCCGAGTCGATTTCGACCGAGTAGAACTGCCCCACAGAGTTTCCGAGGAGCGGCTGGTGGAGTCCAACTGCCGACCGTTTGATTAGCCCCCGAGCTCTTAACCACTAGGCCACCAGGGCTCCGTGCTTTTCCCACCGGGTGGCTGGTTTGTGAGGTTTACTTGTTGGCTTGCAGCCACATGGCATTCCTGTTTGTTGCTGAGTGGCATCCCTCCACCTCCTCTGATCAGGCTCCATCCCCCACCCCACCTCCGGTGGTTACCCACCCAGCGACTCCTTTCTGATCCCAGCAACTCCTTTCTGATCGCCCTCTGTCAGAATTTAACACAGGCCACACCTCCTTTTCCAGCGCGAGCCGTTCTAAACACAGGGGACAGGCTGTTTCTCAGTTCTTATCTTACCCTGCTGGCCAGCATACCTGGGTACCCGTGTACTCCTATGGTGCTAAACACTCTCTTTGGGCTGACGAGTCCCCCTTGATGGTGGCAGCCTGGGCCTCTCCCTGAGCTCCAGCTGCCCCTCACACCAAAAGCCCCAACCAGGAAGCACCTGGCAGCTGCCTGCCTGACCCAGACTTGCTTCCTGCTCTGGTCTGCCTGTCTTGGTTCGCCTTGCCATCATGGTACCCTTGGTCTGAAAGCAGAGGTGTCGATCTTGACTCCTTCCTGGTTTTTACCCTCATTTCAAATCCTTCAACGAGTCCTGGGGGTTCTTATTTCCAAAGCCAGTCTGGAGTCGCCTCCACTGCTGCCCCTGGTCCCAGCCACCAGCCTCCCGGACTAAGAGGACCCTCCCAGGGCCCCCATTTCTTTCTCTAGGGCACACTGCCTACCTAAAGGCTCCACTCGGAGCCATTCTGAGCTTCCACCCTGGCTCCTGCCCTCCCCTGCACCTTGGCTCTGGCCTTGCTTCCTCCTGGCAGCCCCCAGGTGGGTCGGGTGTCTCCCACTCAGGGTCACGCTGAGATCTCTGCCGCACCGCCCGAACCTCCAGCATGTTCCATGGGATCCCAGCGACTCCGGGCCTGGGAGGTGAGTGTGGCTGGAGCTGTCTGTCTTTCTGCAGGGCCAGTTGGGGCCAGGGGTTGTGGGGGGTGAGCCCAAGCTCTCATGTGGCCCCAAGTGGCCCTGGGTGGCCAGGGCTGCAGGCACAGAGAAGATGGACCTTTAGTTCTGCAGGAACCTCGGGCATCCTGACGTCCCGGCCAGCAAAGCCTGGGGGTGGTCCAGGCCTAATGCTCACAAATGGAGCGTGAGTCCTGTTGTGCCGTGCCGCACACCAGGTGCTATCACCCCACTGTGTGGGTGAGGGTGCTGAGGAGGAGCGACTGAGTTGGGAGCCGGGCCTGGCACATGGCTCCCCCGGCCCCCAGGCAGCATCTCCTGCCTGGTCCTCCTGCAAGCTGGTGGGGGGCCAAGACTCAAACCCCCATCTTCCAGCTGCCTACAGCTCTTTGGTACACAGCACAGGGGGCAGCCCCCATGAAGGGAGCCGAAGTGGGCTAGGGTGGAGGGGGCACTGTGCCGCTTGTCTCCGTGGCCGCCTGCCAGCTCTGCCTGCTCTGTTGCAGCTCCTGGGAACAAGCCCGAGCTGTACGAGGTGAGTACCGGACAACAGCACGCGCTGTGTGACCGTGCCCTGCAGCCCCTCCTCAGGTCCCGAGCTGCCTTCGTGGTGCTGGGCTAACGCACTCCCCACTCTCTCTGACAGGAAGTGAAGCTGTACAAGAATGCTCGGGAGCGCGAGAAGTGAGTCCAGGCCCCTCACGCCATCCCCCACTCCTGCCCACCTCCTCAGAGCAGCTCCTCTGCTCACCCCCTCCTCAAGGGCCAGGGAGGACAGTGGTCAGGCCGGCGAAACCATCCTCACGGCGCCTCTGCTGGGCTAGGCGGGCGGCAGAGAAGTGTTTGCTCAGCTGCACCCTCAGGGCGGGTCTGACGGGCAGCGTGCCCACAGGTACGACAACATGGCAGAGCTCTTTGCGGTTGTGAAGACAATGCAAGCCCTGGAGAAGGCATACATCAAGGACTGTGTCACCCCCAATGAGTGAGTCACTGATATGCCACCCTGTGGCCTCTGGCCAGTGCCCAGCCTTGCCCTGTGTCCATCCTTGGAGGCCTGTTCCTGCTCTCAGGGCCTGGGTGGCCGGTAGGAGCAAGAGTAGGAGCCCCAGGGCTTTGTCCCCCTGCCCCCGTGTGAAAATGGTATGAGGGCAGTGTCCAATCTCCTCTAACTTTATAAGGCGGAAGGAGAGTCAAGATCAGCAGCCCAAAGCTGATTCCTGTGAGGCAGAGGTCAGACAGGTTTCCTCTCTCCGCCTGTTCACTAGCTCTGACACCAACCATCCTTCCCGAGGCACCCTCTCCTTCTCTGCTGGGTTCAATGGTTCGTTGCAATGGTCACGCAGAACTCACAGACTATACTCATGATTATGGACTTTACTAGGGAAGTAACAGTTACAATTCAGGCTCAGAAACACTCAGGATAGTTCTTCCATCAGGACAGCCCCTTCCCAGCCATGCTTGCATGCACGTCTCTCTCTGGCCTAGGCCTCTGCCCAAAGGGACTCGGCTTTCTCTCTCTGTGGGCCTGCTGTGCCGTCTCCTGCTGCCGGGTCAGTGCTGCCACCACTTCTCACCACCTTCAGGGTTACAGTTTGCACTGTCCCGGTCTCCTGCTTCCAGGAGCTTCTCAGCACAGGAATCCCGTGTCCAAAGGATGTGCTGGCTCCTGGCTGTTCTTCCTTCGTGGGATCCTCTCTTTCCCGCTTCTGGGGTGGCGCATTTCAAGCCCAGTGGGATGGCAGAGTGACCAGTCCCTTTGGTGGGCCACGATTACCCTGCCACAGAGTCCCACCCAACCATCTGGGTGGGACTTACATGAGCATGGCGAGAAAGGCCACACAAAAGTGATCTGTCGCACTGCACCCCACCATCAGGCTGGCAGCTGTGGTGAAAGATCCCAGGGGAGGGGCATGCTTCCCACTGTGCTCCCTGAGGGGGGCCTGACGCACAGGAGGTGTGTAGCCTGTCCAGTGTGGGGGTGGGCTGTCCAGGAGAGCTAGGCCCACGGACGGACAGCACAGTCGGGGGCAAAGGGCTGAGCCACACGGGCCGCCCAGGTTGGTGGCAGGTCTGCCCCTGCTCTCCTCTAGAGCTTTTTCACTGGACACGTGAGATTCCCTAGTTCTCTGTGGCCCGGGGTGGGGGCCCCCTTCTTCCTGGGAGAGCCGTCTGTGTGTCTGGATGGCCCAGGGGAGCAGCAGGATGTGTGGCATGGCCGGGCACGTGCTGACGCAGCCCTGGCCTCCCAGGTACACGGCCGCCTGCTCCCGGCTCCTGGTCCAGTACAAAGCCGCCTTCCGGCAGGTCCAGGGCTCCGAGATCAGCTCCATCGACGAGTTCTGTCGCAAGTTCCGCGTGAGTTCTCAGCCCTCTGCCCCCCCCCGTGTGGGGTGTAGGGGGTGCTGTTGGGGCGGAGCCCATCTGCCTGGGGCACCATTCCCTTGAGGCCAGGCACCTACGCCGCCCTCCCCGCAGCTGGACTGCCCGCTGGCCATGGAGAGGGTCAGGGAGGACCGGCCCATCACCATAAGGGACGACAAGGGCAACCTCAACCGCTGCGTCGCCGACGTCGTCTCGGTGGGCCGGGGCCCGGCTGGGGCGGGGGCCTGCACCGGGGAGCCCCACCGTCCTGAGCTGCTGGGAGCGAGCGCTGAGTCAGGGATGAGAGGGGCGGACAGGGTCTCCAGGCAGCTCCCCACCAGACCCCTGGCAGCGGGCGATGGGGGAGAGGAGCCATTCCTGGGGTGCGCTCCGCTGGGATGAGCTCGGCATCCGCCCTGGCGGAGCTCCTGGGGTCACACCCTTCTCTGGAGTGTGTGTGGTCATCCACCAGCCTCCCTCCACTGCTCCCCGGGGGCTAGAGCGTCCCTGTGGCTGGGACGTCCAGACACACACACGCGGTGCCCCATGCCTGCAGAGTCACACGGGGTGGGGGCGCCAGTGCCCTGCAGGTGCCTTCAGGAGGTGTGAGGCCAGGAGAGCCCCATGCCAAGACGCCGAGAGGCAGCAGCACCAGGGTGCAGTGAGGAGGGCCCAGCGAAGATGAGAGCTAAGGCTGAGGAGGAGCGGACAGGCGAGGGGCCTGGGAGGGGAGAGGCCCGGCGCTCGGCTGCAGAGGCACCCGTCTGCAGCTCAGGCCTGACCAGGTGGTGGGGGTGGCAGTGGTCTCACTCACATTTTCCCCCCAGCTCTTCATCACAGTGATGGACAAGCTGCGCCTGGAGATCCGAGCTATGGACGAGGTCACTTTCCTGCTAGGGTTGGGGCTGGGGTTGCTACAGGGTAGGGCTTGTGGCCCCTTCTGCTTCCTGAGAGGCGGGCGCCTGGGGGTGGGTCCCAGTGGGCTTGTGGTGTCTGCAGATCCAGCCTGACCTGCGGGAGCTGATGGAGACCATGCACCGAATGAGCCACCTGCCCCCCGACTTCGAGGGCCGCCAGACGGTCAGTCAGTGGTGAGTGTCCGTCCTCACTGGGCAGCCTCCCAGCAGGCGCCACGCAGCCCTGTGAGCTCCTGTTCTGCTGCGCCCCCCCCGCCCCCCACATTCCCCAAACACCCACTGCACTGCCCCCAGGCTGTCCCACTCCCTGCCCCTCTCCCCCACACACCCCCACCGTGCTGCCCGCAGGCTGCAGACCCTGAGCGGCATGTCGGCCTCCGATGAGCTGGACGACTCCCAGGTGCGCCAGATGCTCTTTGACCTGGAGTCGGCCTACAACGCCTTCAACCGCTTCCTGCACGCCTGAGGCTGTGCCCCACCCCAGCCCCCAGCCTGGGGGTGACTTCTCCACGGTGGCTTCTCTCCTGGACAGTCTCAGTGCCTGTTGTCTGTGCGTCTATCCGTGACCCTCTCCCACCCTCCCTACAATAAAGATGCTGTCTGACCTCTCTCCTGCGTGTTCTGTCACCCTCTGGGCCTGGAGAAGGGGCTCCAAGCACGGAGGTCTTGCACCGCACCCCCCAGCCTGGCTCTGTCACTGCCCCTGTGTCCTTCACACAGGCCTTTCATCAGGGAGGGCCCAGGCACCAGCTCGGGGACAGCAGGTTTGGCTCAGGGACAGCCTTCATGTTGGTGGCACGGGTTTCACAGCACCTTGGCTAGGTGTGGCTTGAGTCCAGGGACAGAGAAGGCTGCTGGGGACACCCCCTCCTCTGAGGGCACATTCAGGGGACGGGGGCAGTGTTGCTGGGGTCGTAACACTGATGCCCATACCACTGGTGCAGCTGCTCCACCCTACCCCAGGCTCCAGCCAACTGCCAGGCTGCCCATCCCTCATGGTGAACAGAGGGGCATCTGAGGGCCCACAGGAGAGGGTGGAGCACCTGCTCTCCCAGCTCTGCAGGGTGGCTCAAGCCACCCAGTGCCTATAGGCCTCCCCTGCAGGTCCCTCCTTAAACCCTGGCTCACGTGGAGCGCAGTGGACAACTCACGGTGGGCTCAGTCTGCCCTCCTGCCCATGCCGAGAGGGCCCCAGAGCCTGGTGGCCCTTGCCCATGGCTGGGGGTGTCCGCTTACAAGCACTAGGACCGTGTGGGTGCCGACAGTGCCCTGCCCTGTGAGGAGACGCAACAAATCACACAACCACATGCCTGGGCTCTGAGATGCACTTTCTTTCATGTTTTAACAACTGGAATCAGGACAATGGCAGGCACAGTATAATTGTAGCACTTTTCTTTCTCATCAGCGCCTGAAACAACGCTGCTTCTTGACACGGAAGAGTCAGTGGAGAGTCCCGGCCCGGAGCCTGCTGGTGTGGGGCAGGCAGGGCAGGCTGTTACCTTTACCCCAGAGCCTATTGCTATCTTACTGTGTGGGAGGGGCCGCAACCAGCTATGAGCCAGGGCGGGGCCAGCCTGCAGGGTTTAAGGGTTTATGAAGGGTGTGGTGGGTGGGAAGAGTACCTGGGAGGAGGTGGGGCTCCCATGGAAATGGGGATGCCTGCAGGCAGGGGTCAAAGCAACTATCCAGTGGGTAGCTGGACATGAGACTGGTATTCTAGAAAGAGGTCCTGTGAGACCAGACGTCCCCACACACAGGTGGATGCCATCCCAGCTGTCCACAGAAGGTCCCGGGACCGGCCTGGGTGCTCTCCAGGGCTAGGAGAATGGGGAGAGACCCCACAAAGGAGCCTCAGAAGAGCGGGGGCGGGGGCAGGAGTCCCCAGATAGGGAGGCGGGATAGACTGGGGTCAAGGGAAGGTTGATGCAACAGGAAAAGCCCCGTTGGACTGACAAGAGCATGGTGGGGGATGATGGGATGGCAGTGGAGAGAGGTGTGGGCATGCAGGACAGAGGCTCCAGGGCCCAGAGGAGGATCTGGCTTTGGGAGGAACCATGGGTCGGAGGGAGGATTGCAGGAAGCTGGTGACCACGAGGAGGTACACTGGGGGAGAGGAGGGGAGTGGGAGAATGAACTGGGGCAACGGAAGGCCTGTGAGGACCAGCCCAGGAACCTGGACCGGGACCTTTGTGCTGAGCCCTTGAGCAGGGGGCCAGAGGCAGCTCAGAGGAGGCTGGCCAGGTCCGGCGGTTTGGGCCTGAGGCTGCCCTCCTCCTCACTTGTTTCCTACCACACTAAGCCAGCACCTGGTCCAGGCATCGTCTGAACCCCCCGTGGGCAGGCATCTCCCTGCCCCTACCCAGCTCCCCTTAGGATCCCTGGACGTTACACTACCCACGTTCTTGGGTCGGAAGGGCCACCATGTGTGTCCAGCGAGTGAGCAGGCAGGTCCTGTTATGTGTGCACACGTGCGTGAGTGCGTGCACGCATGTCTCTTGGAGACGCCCCAGAGCCGGGACACTTTGCGAGCCCATTTGCCAGACAGGAACCCAAGATTCTTGGAGCTCCTTCCAAGCTGCTGCCCTGCCTTACTATCGACACAGGTCCAGCGGACAGAGTCCTCACCTCAGGGGAACTCCAAGGCCTCTATGCAGAGGTCACAGGCCTTGGGGTCAGGATTTGGCTGAGCTGGCAGGCGTGCTGTCACCTGGCTGATCAGGGAGTCGGGAGGCAAGGCTGTCCTGACAGCTGCAGTACCCAGGACAGATTAAAATCGACCTGGGGGGGTCAGTGCCCTGGGGTCCGCCCCTCCCCCAGCCGCTGACTGAGCAGAATCAGGACGCCGGCAATAAGGCCACAAGGGTGTAAATGCCGAGAAGTGATCAGGCAGGGAGAGGCAGTACTGGCGCCAGCCCTCCCCCAACAGGCCCCAGGGCCTCAGACACCTGCCCTGGTCCCACCAGGGGCCTGGCCCCCAGAAGCCCTCCCCAGAGGCCTCCTCAGAGTCCTCCCAGAGACCCCCCCCAGAGCCCCTCAGGGGTCAGGAGCAGGGCCACATTCCTTCCTGTTTTGTTTGTCTATTTTCTGGGGAATTTGCCTGAGGGCAGGGGAAGGGGGGAGGGGGCTTATCAGTTCTTTCCACTCTTGCCCAAGAGGAGATCCCCCACCTCCCACCCCCAACTGAGGCCCCAAAGACTCTGAGAAGCTGAGTAGCAGGGCCAGGAAGTTTCTACTGGGAGGGGTGGGCTCTGGGGCTGGGAATGTCCCCGGTGGGGTCAGGCTGTGGCTCTGGCCCACCGTGACCATGGTCGCACCCATCACCGTGGTCCCCAGGCCCCCAGCTCAGGGCAGCCCCAGAGAAAGGGTTACGGGGGTGGGTACACCCCAAGCCTCCACAGAGGCCCAGGCCGCCCCTCCAGGGGAAGGGGCGCGGCCCCCGCTCCCAGCATTCTGGGAGGTTCTATCTGCCAGTGGAACGGCTAATCTCTGGCCATGCTGGCAGCCAATCACAGCGCCCCACAGAAAATACCTGGGAAAGGTCTTGTGCCTGGGCCGGGCGGGCCCCAGTTCAGTCTCAGTCTGGACCAAGGCGCCCGGGTGGTCGCAGCCGCAGACACCAGCCTCCTCCTACAACAGAGTCCGGGGTCTGCGCATGGCTCCCCTGCCCGGGCTTGGCCCGCGGCTGCTGCTGGCCTCACTGCTGGTGGTGGCAGCAGCGGCCACACCCGCCCGTCTGCTGACTGTGCTCACGTCGGGCCGCGGTGCTCTGGACCGCTTGGAACTGGGCGGCCTGTTAAATACGCTAGCGGCCCGTGTGCACTGCACCTCCGAGCCGTGTGGAAAGGTAAGAGCCCAAGGGCCGGTCCCTCCCCCACCTGCCTCACCCCAGCTACCACAAAGGGCCCTGGAGAAACTCTAGGGGGCGGCACCGGGTGGCCTGCGCCAGGGTCTGTCCTGGAAGGGGTGCACTGGGGGTGGCTGGGCAGGTGGCTGGGGGCACACCGTTCTCCCTGGAGCCTGGGGTTCCCCTATCCGCCTTTGGTCTCACATTGGCTGTGCTTACAGGAGGCGGCCACCTGCGGTGGATGGGCCCATGGCCTAGACCTCCTCCTGCATCCCAGAGTGGTGGGAAGGCGTGGGGGGTGAGGGAGAGGGTGTCCACTGTAGTCCTGGGCCCCGGCCCACCTGCCCCACTGCCCACAGTGTCTGTCTGTGGAGGATGTCCTGGCACTGGGCTGGCCGGAAAAGTCAGGGCTTCTCCCGGAGCCTGTCCTGCGTGCCAAGGACATCGCCCGCCTCAGCGCGGCTGCGGCCCTCTACCTCAACGACCCTGAGGGCACATGTGCAGACATCCGGGCCGGCCGCTGGGGCTCCCGTGCCGACCACCTCCTGGCCACGCTTGAAGGCCCCAAGGCCCTGACCCTGGGCCTAAGCCGGCTCCTCCAGGGGATCCAGGCCCAGGAGGGCACCCAGCGTGCTGCAGAGGAGGTGAGGGCTCTGGCAGGCCGGTGGGGCAAGAGAGAGGAGGGCAGGCGCCTGGTCATGGGAACACGTGGCAAAGCCTCCCTGGTAATTCCTGGCGCCTGGGGGAGGCTCTGAGGGAGAAGGATGGAGAAAGATTACCATAGATATCAGCCGGGAGGGGCCCTCACAGGGCCTGTGGGCAGAGATGGCTCTAGGGCGGCAGGGAGGAGCCCAGGGAAGATGGTGGGAGCCTTGGAGGGCTGAATGCGGTGGACCAGACTGTGGTGGGGGGCCAGGTTGGCGTGAGGAAGCCAGAAGAGGTCTCAGGAGGTGAGGGTCTTGGGGCAGGTGCTGGCAGAGGCTTCGGGAGGTGGCAAACCCTGAGGACGAGGCTGCCGTTTTCCCCCAGCCCTGTGTGGGTGTGCCTCAGCTGCTGAAGGAAGCATCGGCAGAGGGCCCTGATGGCCCCGGCCCGGCCCTGGCCGCCCTCTTGGACCACGTCGAGAGAGGCACCTGCTTCCATGCCCTGCCCACCCCACAGTACTTCGTGGACTTCGTGTTCCGGGAGCATACCAGCGAGGCCCCCAACATCACGCTGCCCGGTGAGGTCCAGCCCAGGGCGGGTGGCGCCATGAGGCCCCTGGGCATACAGGCAGGGCTGAGGAGGGCCTATGACCAATGGGTCTTCCACCCCTACACCCCTCTCCTGGAGGACATGGCTGGGCCCACACTGATGTGTGGTGGCCATCGGCTGTGTCCTTCTGCCAGAGCTGGCCACCTTGATGCAGCGCCTAGGGGTGGGTGGGGAGGTGGATGCCCACGGGTCCGAGGACCACAGTAACCACAGCCACCTGGGCAGAGGGGCCATAGGGAGCGACAGCCACGAGGAACCTTTGCCCCTCACCACCTCCAACGGTAGCTCCAGTGTGTGGGACACGGTGAGCACTCTGTGGGCAGGGTCCTGGGGAGGTGGGCTCCACAGCTCTGCTCAGCCGCTGACATCCCACCCTGCCACCCCCAGTTGTGCCTGAGTGCCAGCGACGTGATGGCTGTGTATGGGCTGTCGGAGCAGACCGGGGTGTCCCCCGAGGCTTGGGCCCAACTCAGCCCTGCCCTGCTGCAGCAGCAGCTGAGCGGGGCCTGCAGTACCCAGGCCAGTACCTCCGCCCAGGACCAGCTCAGCCAGGCGGAGAGTGAGTGCCTCCCCAGTGGTGCCTGCCTGGCCATGCCTGGGGTGCTGGCAGTGGGGGCAGGGGGGCCCACTCGGGAGAAGGAGGTGGTGGGCAGAGGGTGCTGGGCAGGGAAGGGTGGTGAGCCCTGGGCAGGGGTGGGAGGAGCTGAGGATAGACAGGGAAACAAGGAAGCAGGGTGAGGGCTTTGAGCAAGAGGGTCAGCATGAGCAGAGGCCTGGCTCAGGCGCCCTCCCCTGGGAGCAGGCACCTGCCAGCCCTCACTCCCACCCACCCCCGCAGAGTACCTGTACGGCTCGCTGGCCACACTGCTCATCTGCCTGCTGTCGGTGCTGGGCGCGCTGCTGGCCTGTAGGGGCTGCTCCACCGCCATCCACTACATCATCCAGACCTTCCTCAGCATGGCCGTGGGCGCGCTCACCGGGGACGCCCTCCTGCACCTGATGCCCCAGGTCGGGCCTCGCCCACCCACGGCCCTCCTTCACAGGACTCTCCTCTCCCCACCTTCCCCCAGGGCACGCCCTCCTGGGGGGCCTTCCCTTCACAGGCAGGGGAAAGAGGGGGGCCCCGAGATGCCAGTCTGACCCAGCACCCCATCCGCCAGGTGCTGGGGCTGCACAGCCATGACCATAGCCACGAGGAGGAGACTCTCACTTCCCAGGCCACCTGGTACCTCCTGGGTGTGCTTGGCGGCCTCTATGCCTTCTTCCTGTGCGAGAACCTCTTCAATCTGCTGCTGCCCCAGGACCCGGAGGTCAGGCTCGGGGGAGGTCAGGCTCGGGACAGGCGAGGTCCAGGAAGATGGGCAGGGCGGGGCGGGGAGTGGAGGGTCTGAGCCGCCGTCCCCGCAGGACCTGGAGAAGGGCAAGCCCTGCAGCCGTGGCGGCCACAGTCACGGCATGTCCCTGCAGCTGAAGCCCAGCCAGCTGCAGCCACCCAGGCAGCCCCAGGAGGGCTCGCAGGCAGACCTGGTGAGCCGCCACCTTGACTCCCCCATCCTACGCTGACCCCCCTCCACGAGCCCCTCCCCCAACTCCTACACTCAGGCCCCACCCCAAGACCTCCTCCCCTGGCCTCCAGTGCTGAGTGGGGACCCAGCCGCGCACCCCTCCTCCACTTCCCCTGCCCCAGCCTCATCCACATGGATTCCCCCAGGTCGTGGCAGAAAGCCAGGACCAGCTGAGCCAGGAGTCCCCGAAAATGAACGCAGGTAAGCACTCAGGGAGGCCTGGGGGCGTTGAGACACCTCACAGTCCGCGTGTGGTTTGATGTGGACTGCGGCTGGGGGTGAGGGGGGCCCTGAGAGGTGGGGGACCCCATCGACCCCACCCCACGCCTGCCCCCCCTGCCTCCAGAGTTGCGGCTGCTGCCCTACATGATCACGCTGGGCGATGCTGTGCACAACTTGGCCGACGGGCTGGCCATAGGCGCCGCCTTCACGTCCTCCTGGAAGACCGGGCTGGCTACCTCGCTGGCTGTGGTCTGCCACGAGCTGCCGCACGAGCTGGGTGAGCGTCGCGGGGAGGGGGCTGTGGGGAGTGGGGAGGGGTCTGCCCGGGGCAAGGTGGGGGACACCCGGGGCGGGGCATTGTTGGCCTGGATGGGGGCATACCTGGGGCCGGGCAGGGCGTCTGGGGAGGGAAGGACGGGGTGGGGGTGCGCCTGGGGAGGGTGGGGGATACCTGGGGCTGGGGCGTTGTCTACATGGATGGGGTGCATATCTCGGCCTGAACCCCCTCGGCCCCCAGGAGACTTCGCGACCCTGCTGTACGCCGGAATGTCGGTGCGCCGCGCGCTGCTGCTGAACCTGGCCTCGGCGCTCACGGCCTTCATCGGCCTCTATGTGGCGCTCGCGGTCAGCGTCAGCGAGGACAGCCAGGCCTGGATCCTGGCGGTGGCCTGTGGCTTCTTCCTCTACGTGGCGCTCTGCGACATGGTGAGGGCGGGTGAACGGGACTTGGCTGCCCCGGCACTGACGGTCGGGTGGGGGCTAAGCTGGCCACTGACCGGACCCACCTGCTCCCCAGCTCCCAGCCATGCTGCACGTGCGGGACCCGCGGCCCTGGCTGCTCTTTCTACTGCACAATGTGGGCCTGCTGGGCGGCTGGACCGTCCTGCTGCTGCTGTCCATATACGAGGACAGAATCTCCCTCTGACCCCACAGTCTCCGGCTGTGACTCTGACCCCAGCCCTGGGCTAGCTTGGCCCCTGCCACACCTACAGCCCATGGCCCTTTGAAAGGCCCCCTGTCCTGCTCAACCCTCAGCTTCAATAAAGACGCTCTTGCTCTGGATCCAGGCCTGGCCTCCTCAGTGGGAGGGAAGGGTGTAAGGAAAGGCAGTGGAGGGGGCTTCTTCCTCCCTCCCTCTTCTCTTGGGGCCTCTTCTCCCACTCTGATGAGACCACCAATCACGTTGAACTGCAGGCCCACCCTACTCCAGTGCGAACTCATCTTCACGTGACTAATTCCATCTGTAACAACTCTGTTTACAAATAAGGCCGCATTCTGAGGTGCTCGGGGGTTAGGGCTTCAGCATATATTTTGGGGGGACACAATTCACCCCATATTACCCCTCATGATCCAAAATGGCTGCCAGAGCTCTAGCCATCACACACACTTTCCAGGCAGCAGAAAGGAGGTAGGAAAGAGCAAAAGAGTAGGAGGCTAAGAAGGACATCAGATCTAGGACATCAGGTCAGTGCTCATCCACCCAACACCCAGACACGAAAGCACGAGAGCCAGAGGTCAGGCTCACTTTAGGCTGCCAGCTGACCCACGGACACGTTTCCTCCCCAGCACCGTTTCCAGCGAGTGGGCTTTCCCGTTCAGGGGTGGGCTTCCCTGGGGGAGTAGCCCAAGAGAAGCCGGCAGGAGCTGCGTGAACTTCACGTTTCCTTCCGGGGTCTTTTTTATGGAGGTGAAATTGACATAAAATCAGCCGTTTAAAGCGAACAACGGAGTGGCATTTAACACTTTGTCAAGGCTGTGTTGGGCATTTGGTACATTCACCGCCGAGTTCCAAAACCTGGAAAGGAAACCCCAGACTCATTGAGTAGTCACTCAGTCCCTGGAGAAGGACATCATGCTTGGTAGAGTAGAGGGCCAGCAAAAAAGAGGAAGACCCTCAACGAGACGGATTGACACAGTGGCTGCAACAATGGGCTCGAGGATAACAGTGATTGTGAGGATGGCGCAGGACCGGGCAGTGTTCGGTTCTGTTGTACACAGATAGGGTTGCTATGAGTGGAAACCCCCCCTACGGCACCTAACAACGACAACAGCCCCCTGCCCCAACCCCTGGTGACCGCTTGTCTGCTTCATCTGGGTGGATTTACCTGTTGCCTACGTTTCATGTAAATGAAATCCTACAATATCATGTGACCTCTAAAGCCTCACTTCTTTCACTCAGCATAATGTTTTCAAGATTCAGGCACACTGAAGGTTGCGCCAGTACTTCACTCTCTCTCGTGGCTGAAGAGGACTCCGTTGTGTGGTTAGCTCAGGTTCTATATGCATTCTCCTTTGCTGGGTATTTGAGCAGTTCCGCCTTTTGGCCATTGTGAATGGAGTTCAGACAGGTGGAGAGTGAAGGCCCCATCTCAGTTGTGCCTGTCTGGCCACAGCCAGGGGTGCTGGCACTGTAGGTGCTGGGGTCCACTCAGCTGAGGATGTTGGGCTGAGGGAGGGCAGGTAGAATGAAGTCTGGATGGCACCTGACCAACTGGGGAGTAGGGGTGAGGGCGGGAGAGGCAGGGTTGGGGGCAGAGAGTGGGAGAGAGGCTTGGGCAGGTCCCTGGCTATGAGAATACCACACCACCTCCTTCCTAAACCGTGAGACCCTAACACCTGGGACAGGTGCCTGGTCCAGGTGTGAGAGCCCAGCCCCACTCCTGCCGCAAGCAGCCCTTGTGGCCACAGTCCCGAAGCTCACAAGCGCTCCCGATGGCACTGCGGCTGAGCGCCTGGGCTTGGCGGTCCTGGCTGTGCTCGGCCTGGCGTTGCTGCTGGCCACGGCTAGGTTTTGTATTTCTTTATTGTGGCAAAACGCACATACCAAAACTTACCATTAGTGATACTTAGTGCATTCACAACATAGCGCGACCACCACCACTACCTAGTTCCAGAACATTGTCATCACCCCAGAAGGAGACCCTGCACCTACTAGCAGGCGTTCCTCATTCCTCCACTGCCAGTCTCTGGCAATCTCTACTCTACTTTCAGCCTCCATGGCTTTACGTGTTCTGCAGATTCCCTATAAGTGTGATCATATGACGTGTGGCTTTCCGTGTCTGGCTGCTTTTACTCAGCGCCGTAAGTTCAAAGTTCGCCCAGGTTGTAGCAGGTATCTGAACTTCGTTTCTCTTTATGGCTGAATAAAATTACATTGTGAGTGTTGAACGGAAAAGAACAATCAACTAGTCAAATAATCAACAGGATTTATTGATTCAGAAGCTGTTCAAGGACAGAGCTGATCCAAGCTTAAAGGGGTAACGAGCTCGCTCAAACAGCATGACTACAGGATTCTTAAAGGCAGTTAGGGGGTTTCCAGTAGGGAAGTTACAAAGCTGGGTCTCAGGTATGTCTTTACTTGAGGGGAGAGCCTTACAAAGCGGGGGTCTTTCTGTCACTGGTTTTACAAGCACACTTGGGAACTGGTGGAGGCTGGTATGGTGAGTCAGACACGTTCTTCAACATCAGGCTGTCCTCTAGGTGTGTCCTGAGGTTACAACACTTTGAGAACTCCCTCTTGTTCTGTCAAGGTTTGTACCTGGCACCAACAGCCGTTAATCCCTCTCTCTCTCTTTTTTTTATCTTGGTGAAAACATACGTGCCAAAACAGCAACTTCCACATCTACAACTCAGTCACATTGATTTCATTTTCCGTGTTGTACCGCCCTTATCTGTATTCTCATCCAAAACATTCCACCACCATTGATGTAAATTCAGTGCCTTCCAAACAAAAACTACCCCTCTCCCCTCCCTCTGCCTCTGGTAACTACTAATAATCTTTGGTTTCTCTATATTTGCTTATTTCATGTCAGTGAGATCAGACAGTATTTGTCCTTTTGCGACTGACTGATTTCACTCAACATGATTCGGCCGTTGGTTTCTATTTAACGTCTAACATGTATATGCCACATTTTGTTTATCCGTTCATCTGTTAACAGCTGGGTTGTTTCCACCTCTTGGTTACTGTGAACAAAGATCCTATGAACACGCATTCACAGGTATTTGAGTCCCTGCTTTGCATTCGTTTTGGACATATACCTAGGCGTGGAATTGCTGGGTCCTTTAACCCACCAGCCACTCCTCGGGAGAAAGACGTTGCAGTTGGCTTCCATAAAGATTTACAGCCTTGGAAACCCTCTGGGGCAGTTCTACTCTGCCCTACAGGGTCGCTATGAGTCGGAATCCGCTCAACGCCAACGGTTTTGTGTGTTTAACTTTCGGAGGAGCTGCCAGGCTGTTTTCCACTTGTTTGTTTTCTTATGATTGTTTTCAAGTCCGCAGACAGACGGCGTTCCCCGAGTCCCAGGGGCTGAGCGCTTACTTAGAGCGCGGTGGTCCCGGCCCAGGGTCCCGGGAGCGCGGGCAGGTGGGGTGGACTTCGCTGCCCCGCTGGAGGGGAGGACGGGCAGTAGGAAGCTGAGGACCACGGCGCCCGGGCGGCGGGGGATGCAGGGACGCGGACACGTGCTCCCAGGGACTCCGGGCGGCCTGCAGCCCGTCCTCGCGGGCACCGCCTGTTCGCAGCACCGGCCGCGGCGTCGCCCCGCACCGGTCTGAGCGCGGAGGCCGCTGGGGCGCACGCACCCGGCGCAGTGAGGGACAGTCGCTTCGCCCCGCGGCCGAGACCCTGCCCGGTGGCCCCTCCTGGGTCAGGCAGGGGACTCCCCGCTGCGTCCCAGGGAGTCTGGGGCCTGAGCAGCCGCACCCGCTCCCCGCCAGGCTCCCTGCTGTCGGACCCTCGATCTCCCGGGAGCGTGGGGTCTTGGGGCTCCCGGCGCGGAGCTAGAAGCCGAGCAGCGAGACCCGGCTGCAGGGCCCGACCACCAGGGGCCGCTGTTGTCCCCGCAGCGGCTACCGCCGCGGCGGAGCTGCGCAGGCGCAGGAGCCGGGACCATTGGTGCCCGGAACCTTGGTGCTCAGCTTCCGGGTCCAGCCGGGCCGTGTTCGCTGCTATTCCGGGTCCCCCTCGAGCTGGCTTCCCCTGCTAGGTGGGTAGACGTGAGTGAGTTGACGGCGCGAGGCCGGTGAGGAGGCGCCGGGAGGGATCCTGCGCGGGTGGCCCTGCTCACCCTGTTTCCTTCGGTCCCGCGCAGCCTGGGTTCGGCGCCATGTACGCCGTATACAAACAGGCGCATCCGCCCACCGGCCTGGAGTTCTCCATGTACTGCAACTTCTTTAGCAACACCGAGCGGAACCTCGTGGTGGCCGGGACCTCGCAGCTCTACGTGTACCGCCTCCACCGCGACGCCGAGGTAGGCCCGGACCCGCGCT